TTTTAATTTATTAATTGTTTCTGTGTACATTTAAATTTGGTGTTGTAGATATATTTTTTGATTGTGAGCCTTCTGTTGTTCCTTAAGTTTTTTTTAAATTTAAAGGGTGATTTTTTAAGAGCTATAGGAAATTAAAAAAAAAATTCAGAAAAATGCATGAGATCTTTATTTGAATCGATTGTAAACTCAATCCATCCGGTCCATCCGCTTAGTCCAATTTTGGCAAATGCTTCAATGTTGTCCTCCAATCCGTGAATTGCAGCGGACTTGTCTGCATAGACATTGGATTTATTATAGCCGCACAAAAATAGTCTAAAGGCGTTAAATCGCACGACCTAGGCGGCTGATTGACCGGTACCGGACGTGAAATAAAATGTTCACCGAACTCGCCACTCAATAAGTCCATTGTTATGCGTGGTGTGTTTGGATTTTCTAAATAGTGCTACTTATCTTATCTAATCAAGAGAACTCTTAGGTTCCAAATAAATGTGTCAGACCAACCATTTGCTATACCAAAAGGCATTATAAACAAGTCCATGCACAGCAACTTGTCTACATAAACGCCATTGATTTCAATACATTTCTTAAGCCTGTATGTACACTTTTGAAAACAGTCTTCAAAATCTAGCTTTTTAAACCTCAAAAACCTTTACTATTAAATTTTTTTTAATTTTTGAAAATAACCATAAATCACAAGGTATCCGGGGAATATGGTGCTGGGCGTATTTCTTCGACCCTATAGATCGCAGTGTGGGATGGCGTGTTGTCATGATGTAAAAAGTGGTGCCGCAAGTCCTCTTTCTTCCTGTTTTCCAACAAATTTTCATAAAATTTTGGTAAGCACTCTTCGGTGTACCAATTTGCAGCTACTGTCTGACCCTTTTCCAGTGGAATAGCAGCTACGATTTTAGGTCGGGTGTAGTAAACTGACATCATTACTTTTGCTGCTGATGATTGTTGCTTAGATTTTTTGGGTCGGTTTGCTACTGTTGGGCTTCATACCATGAACTGCTGTATGGTTTCTGAATTGTACTTATAGAACTAAGATTCGTCGCCAGTAACGACTTTACTAAGTTGTTGGTCAGTCTACCACCTTCGAATTTGTTTGGGAAAAGTTGTGCAAAATGCACTTGAGCCACTTTTTGGTCCTTATTTAAAAATCGAGCAGATTTCTTCGTATATCCCAGATATTTACTTAATATTCGAGATACAGCCATGGCATTCAAGCCGAATTCATTAGCAATCATTTTTTGTGTCAATCGTGGGTCTTCGTCGATTTTGGACTTCAACAGGGCTACAGTGACGTCATCAGTGGAGGAAAATGGAAAAATTTTCAGTCTGGTATCTTTGGAACCATTTAGAAATAGTCTTCAAAAACAGTGGAATCGTTCCAAATGCAATTGCGTTTTCTCATCTGCATTTCAGCCGATCATTCTTAAATTTGAAAGGAAGACTAATAAAGTAATTGCAAATGATCTGTTATTTTTATATTAAAAAAAAAAAAAAAAATTAAAAGTCACTAACTGACCGAACTTTTGTTAATACCCTCGTATAAACCTTAGGACAGTCACATATAATTAAAAATACATATGTCAGACTCTTATTTGGGGTTTTTTCTGGCGAATTTGGGTGCTGTGAGGAACAAACAAGGTGATATATTCCATCACAACATTTCCTTAATGGAAAAGCGGTTTGTCTATGGAGACTTAGAAGGGACCTTCCAACCTATTCACGAAAATCCTTAGTATTTATTATCAGTTGAGCAATAGATTTCTTCTAAGTGGAATTTTTAGTATTTTTTCTGAAAACAGTTGCTTTGATGTCACAATAAAACACATATTATACATACTTATTTTTTCATAGGAATATTATTGTTTGCTGGCCCCAATAAATTAAAAATTTGCTATAAGTTTCGGTGTGCCAAAAAAGTTTAAATTTTGTTGACCAGTGTAAATTTGAAACTGCCATCATGTTTGAAATATCGTCCAACCTGCAAATTTTTTAAGTAAATATAATAAACATATTATTTAGTACTAGTGCTGTTTCTTCGAAATATTTTTTCTTCCTTATCACAGCAATAATGTAATAATTAAACAAATTAGCGTTCAGCTGCCACAGTTACTTTTTCGAGCAGTAGATATGTGCTTAAGCACAAGATATTCATTTTATCGTAAAAATTGTACAATATAATGCATTTTATTGCATGAATTCATAACCGTTGAGCTCAGTGAGATTACCCAATGATGCGTTTTTAAGGAAGAGACAAATTCTCCATCTTCACGTTTCAGTTTGTGGATATTCCTCTCGGCAAATCTATTATGGGAGTCCTAAAGAGGAGATTTTTCAAATATTTTTCATGAGGAAGCTTTTAGCTTTATTATTTTGAGCATTTGTACACATATTATGGCACCTTTGAGGAGTAGTAAGCAATTTTTTATTTATAAAAATAACAGTTTTTGAAGTTGACACAGCAGATCTCCAGCCACCGCTCCCAAAAAGGCGTTTTGCGGTAACCATTGTATTTCTGAAGTGAGTCATCTGAAATGAAAAAGTTAAACGGACTTCGTTTATTTTTTTTTATTATTTTAAATAATATTGTCATTAATCGAAGAAATATGCCAAAAAAAAAATGTTTCTGACAAAGTTCGGTTTCTTCCGCGCGCGCTTCGAAGCTCACTTTTGGCTTAATGGTTGCGTAAATAAACATAATTGTCGATTTTGGAGTGAATATCAGCCAGACGCACTGCAAGAGCTATCAATGCGTACAGAAAAACTCATAGTTTGGTGCGGTTTATGGGCTGGTGGCATCATTGGACCGTACTTCTTCAAAGGTGATGCGAATCGTAACGTAACAGTGAATGGCGAGCACTACCGTGATGTGATATGAAACTTTTCTTTTGCCCCTTAATGCAAGAGCTTGACTTGCATGACATGTGGTTTCAACAAGACGATGCCAAATGCCATATAGCACGCGTAATAATGGACTTATTGAGGGGAGAGTTCAGTGAACAATTTATATTACGTTCGGCACCGGCCAACTGGCCGCCTAGATCGTGCGATTTAACGTCTTTAGACTATTTTTTGACTATTTTTTTGGGGGTTATGTTCAATCTAATCTCTATACAGACAAGTTCGCTTCAATTGACGCATTGGGGGACAACATTGAAACATTTATTCCTGAGATACCGGCCGAAATGTTAGAAAGAGTATGCCAAAATTGGACTAAGCGGATGGACCATTTGAGGTGTAGTCATGTGATCAAGTGATCGTTTTTTGGATGTGATTATAAATACCAATAGAAATACGATTGCAGTGGGACTCAAAGTGCGAAATGAGTGTAGACGAGGCTTGACGAGTGTCCAATGGGAACGAGTTAATAGAGGACCATTTTATTATATTCGCAAAAGTTGGAAAACCTACAGAACTTACGATAAATTAATTCTATATTTTAGTTTGATATTTACGAAGAACGAAGAAGCTGTTGCACTCGATATTCTTTTTTTTTAATATGAGGAGAGCAAGTTTTTGAAAAGAACTTCCAGATGTATCCTTCCACTTTTTTAATAGATTTGTCCATGAACATGAAATTTCCAAGTATTGAATTTTATATTAGCTCTAAGGAAATATGTCATTATACCTCAGTCATAGAAAGTCTTATCCTTATTGACAAAAATTGAAACTATTAATTTTTTCAGGCTTCTACTACGTCATAGACAGTAACAGATGCTAATCACTTAGTGCGAGGTCTAGACTGTAAACACTATCGATGTTTTTTTGGTCTGGCGTTGTCCTCATTAAACACAATTCACCGTCTGTCAGACAAAGCCGATCGTTTCTGGACGATTGCTTCCTTCAGACGATCCAATTGGTGCAAAGTAGAGGTCCATAGGTGACCAGCTTAGAGTGAATGATTACTTGCCAATCCCACCAAACATACAACAAAACCACACTGGCCGTCTATCTTGGCGTGTACACTTTTTTTTCTGCTCTTTGACCCCCACCATAACCGTTTTAAGTTACTGTAAGTGATCAACTTTTCATCACCAGTCGTTATCCGCTTCAGAAACGAGTCTATTTTGTAACGATTTAGCAGCGATTGGCAGATGGAAATTCGGTCCTTGAGGCTTTTATTGTTAACTTATGTGGTACTAATACATCGAGCTTCTCTTTGTGTATCCAGCCGTTCGCTGAACCGATTTTCATTCGGGCTCCTCCAGCAATGTGAGGTGTGCGTCTTTATGCTTTTCGAATAAACCTATAGATTATACTAAGTCGGCTCCAAATGGCTGATGATTTTTATTGAGGAGCTTCTTATTTCCTATCAAAATCTGCAGTGGGGGCGCATCGATTGCTCGCAGAGACATATGATGAAGCAGCCTTGACTGAGAGAACATGTCGCTAGTGGTTTAAAAAGTTTAAAATTCGGAATTTAGAAGATAAGGTTATATCATGCTGTGTAATTCTAGGAAAAAATTACTGAAACGCTCGGTGGAAAACCTGATTGCATTATCCCGAGTTAGGTAGGACAAACACTCCCAATATTACGCCAGACACGAAACGACTGTCGCTTCTTCGTGATAATGCTCGTCCACATGTAGCGGCTTCAGTGGAAAACAGTTTAAAAACACTTCATTGAGACGTACTACCCAAACATTGATCCGTCCGACTATTATCTGCTCCGGCCAATGACACATGGGTTGATTCGTGGATAGCCTCAAAAGACGAATAGTTGTTCTTCGGTACGCTGTCTGATGAGAGTTGCTGGGACGGTTCGATTAAATGCAAGCTACCATTCGCTCACAATAAATACTATTTTAAAACCGGCGGACCCCAATTCTTTACTGAATCCCTCTTACTCTTTGTGGTTGGAAAAAATTTTGTAATTTTTTTTTTGCGAAATTCTAAAATGATTCATATTACATTCAGCGCAACATAACATATGTTTATATTTAAAATATAAAAGCAATGACTTGTTCTTTAATGTAACTTTTATTTTCTAGGAAATCAGCAGCTTATCAAGGGAACCACTGTCGCTTTCAGCAAAGCCATCTGGAGTATTGCACTGAATTAAAGAAATGAAATGCCAATTAAATACTGGAAAAAATGCCTTGTGAGCATGTAATTATTTGGAAGAATTACGTCATGCAACTGCAACTACTCACCGAATAAAAAATTCAACAACACCGCTAGAAAAGTGTAGAAACCAATTGGTATTTAGATACGCACCTAAACGATATCGTGGACAACAATACAACCTAATGGAAATTCATCATTAAACAGCAACATTCCGGCAACTATTTTTAAATTCAATATCAAAACTCAGGACCTGGAAATAAGAGAAACAAAAATACTCAACAGAATCACACACACTCATGCACCACATCATATAAAAAGGAACAAAGTATCAGCCCAGTACTCGGCAAAGTATGCAAAAGATCCGCAAAATCTCGCTGGCACAAGAATAAATTATAAGTTATTTAAACTTAAAACGACTTGTATGACAAAAGTATTCAACTTAAGCAGCTATTTACATCAAGAGAGTTAGCCATATTCAGCCACACAGAGTAAATGTGATAAATCAAAATTATTTTACCAAATTTGCTGGTACAATTGAAGAATATCGCAGCTATGGGCAGCATACATAATGTAAGATTCGTTCGTTTCCTGGTCGTCGTAAGTCTGGTTATCCTGTCTATTTTTATATACGCTACATATTCCTCAAATGCGACACTTACGCCCTCACCCTCGCACTCCATGCGTGCCGGTAGCGATGTTGACGGTGCCAATGCGTTACAGCTGATTGTAGATAATAAGAGTAGATTTAGCAGCGATTCTGTTGCCGCCTTTGCTTATGGCAACGGCATTGATAACAGCGCTATTGATGGTAGTAATCGCTTGGATGCGTTACAAAGTGGCGATTCCACGCTCCTGAAGTTGAATAAGAAAGCTGCTGCTACATCTGGAGCAAGTACAGGCGCCGGTACTGGCACAGGGAAGGCGGCGCAATCATCGACTGCGGTAAAGAAACAACATCAACATCGTGAACCAACGATTGATGTGGATGTTGTTAACGATGTGGCGCCCGACGATGATGAGATGGAACGTTTTGGCAATGAATTGCTGGAGGAGACGGATGCGCAGAATATTGATAATGTTCTGGGTAAGTTCGAATATAACGTACACATATACTATACATATATGAGCGCCAGAATTTTTAGCATCGCTATGGATTAAATAAATTTTACTGCCTCCCTGTATTAGTTCGGGCTTCCTCTCTTTGATTGCAGCAGTTTTATTGGCTAGTATATTCCGCTTACAAGAGGTTGAAGTTATTCGAAGTCGTCGAGATCTTCTAACGGAAAGCCCAATAAACGGTTTAGCCGGGTTGAGAGGTTGAGGGGTGTTCGATTAGTAAGTTTTTAACAAGATGTAAAGAAGTGGTTGGGGTCATTACATACAAGATATGTGGATATTTCGATTTGTTAAGTTTTAAAGGGATTTTAAATCGACGCAGATTAACTTAGAGCCTTCGCCGAAAAAGTGTAACGTGCGAATCTTTTTCTTTTCTAAAAAAAAAACTGCCATATGAGGAATATGCGATCGGATGAGGCTCGTGGTTTCAAGAATATAAAATTTGCTTGTTCAAAAAAAAAAAATGGCGGCCGCAATTGCAGAGTAGTTAGCATTGCGTACGACGACGACGAATAAACTGTAGTGTTCTACATTTGTCGGAAAAAAACATCAACCAGAGGACTCCCTGCGGATTCAGGAACTTACCCGCGGTAAGACATTCCTGTCGAAAGAGGCGACTAAAATCCAATATTTCCCGCAGTATTCCCCAAAAAGTACTTTGGGGTATATTTTTGCGGTTACAACAACAAGAACAACTTCAATTAGAGGAGAAGCTCGCCTTGCTTCAGCAATCTTAAAGCGCCAAATATTGTTATATGAAATATTGCAGGTCTGAATGGTCAAAGTTGGCTGATCAACACAGTATAAATTTTGAGAAGTTTTCTTCTTTTTCTGGTAACTTAGTATGCTTTAAGTAAACTTTTTTCTCAGAATTTCCTACAGAGTCAGATTTCGCTACGAACAACGGTCGAAAAAAATTGGACAATTCTAATTATAGTAGTAAATACATAGGCGCAATATATTCACCCGCTAATTATGTGATATCACTATGTACACATGAAACGTTAATTATTTTTATAATTCTACTGCATTTCAGTTGCTGGCAGTATAATTTTCCCGAATACCTCTAGCGCTCAGCAAAGTAATGCTGGCGTTGCGCAAGAACAATCAAAATCACAGTCGCAAGGGCAGCTAGACCAAATGAAACAAAATAACGGTAAATCAAATGATAACTTAAACAACCTGAATAAGATACTGGACTCGGAAGTTATGATACCAACATCGAATTTGCAAAAATTCATCGAAAACGCCGACAAGATATTAAAAAATATTACAGCATCACCGACGGCGAATGAGAAGTGTAAGTGTATTGATAATTGTATGAGTGTTTGTGAATAACAGCGTATTTCTACTTAATTTTACAGCTCCGATAAAGGATGCGAATGGTAGCAAACAGTTAGCTGAGAATAATGCCAACTCCAAGGCTGTCAAAATGGATGACGATGATATTGGTGATGATGATGTAAACAATGATGTTGCACTGCCACCGTCCGTTGTAATGACAATTAAACGTCCTGGTGGTGCTATACAAGAACAACAACCACCAAAAGAAAATCGGCCTGCACCCAAACCAAACTTGGATAAACCGAAAGCCCAGCCCAAAGTGGCACCCAAAATAAACAATTCTGTACCGCCCAAAAATTCTGACCATACCAAAGGTATAGCCACCAGTGATATCTATGAGTCCGGACATTTAAATGAGGAAATAAATTTTGCAAAAATTTGTCCAAATGAAGGTGAAGATTTAAAATTAATGATACTCATCTCATCAGCATTAAATCATGCTGAAGCACGCCTTTCTATAAGACAAACGTGGGCACATTATGGTACGCGTCGTGATGTTTCCATTGCCTTTGTGCTAGGCCGCACCACGAACGAAACTGTAAGCAAGGAATTAAGTATTGAGAATTTTATTTATGGCGATATGATTCGTGGCAATTTCATAGACTCGTATACCAATTTAACACTGAAAACTATTTCCACCTTAGAGTGGGTGGATCTGCACTGTCAGAAGGCCAAATTTATTTTAAAAACAGATGATGATATGTTCATCAATGTGCCGAAACTTTTACAATTTATAGATGGTCATAGCAAGGAGAAGCGTGTCATTTACGGACGGCTAGCGAAACAATGGAAACCCATACGCAATAAAAAGTCAAAGTATTACGTATCGACCGATCAATTTAGTCAACCTGTTTTTCCACCATTCACCACCGGTCCAGCTTATCTCATCACAAGCGATGCAATACATTCACTCTATGAACGATCTCTTCATCAGGTATGTTAAAATAAGTTTGTATACAACTTTTGATTATATTTTAAACACAAAAAAAAAATTCACTTTTGATAGGTATACCTGAAACTGGAGGATGTGTTCACAACAGGAATTGTGGCGCAACAACTTGGCATTAAGCGTGTACATGCCAACGAGTTCCTTAATCGGCGTATTGCATTCAATCCATGCAATATACGTAAACTAATCAGTGTACATATGGTCAAGTCGAATGAACAATTTGACCTGTGGAAGAAATTACTGGATAAGAGTACCAAGTGTAAATAGTATTTTAGGTTTATACATTAAAGTCAAAGATTGAACTGTAGATGTAATAGTATTAAATTAAGTATGAAAAGAAGAAAAGACCCTAGAATATTTTTAAATTAAATATCGAACGCTTTTTATTTATATGCAATATTTATGTATGTGTATGAAAAAAAAAATATATATATAGATATAGATATATATATATATATATATATATAAATACAAAACACATTCATACATATGTACATGTATCTGTATCGAGAAATATTTACTTTAGAAATATATACTTTAGTTTACACATACCAATAAAATGAAAGATGATACTTAGTACATTAAAAATACTTATACATACATAAATACTTAAATGTATTTGTTTTCTAGACTTAACCAATATACTCGTAAATGCATTATAAATGCCATTAAAATACAATATTTATAAACCTATGTTTGGAGAGGAATGTGATGAGTTAATATACATATAAATATATGCTCGTACATAATTACATAATATATAGAGAAAATGGAAAAGAAAAATGTATGAAAAAACGAATTTTTGAAAGAAATAAAATCTCAAGCATTATTATGTGCAACACAGCATTATATTACTTGTTATATTTGCATATAATTTGCAAGTCTACACAGCGGCTTCAAAAGTGCGCTATGTCTAAGCCTAAAAAACACCAACTTAGGACCTTGAAATATTAACCGATTTTGAAAAGTTTAGTATTACTAAGAAGCTGATGAGCTGATGATATCAAAACCATGATGCTAATCATAAATTATTTAAAATATTTTGATTTTCCAATTCAGTAAATGGTTTCGACAAAAAGCCAGTTTTATTCAACGAAAAATTAATAAAGAACTTTCAAAGACTTAATACACAATAGAAAAATAGGATTTAGAGACAAAAAAAAAATATATTTATCACTGCTGGCAGCAAATCGAATGGTCTCGCTTTCCATGTTAAGGTCATATTCAAATCATATTATCGCATTGGATGATAACACTTTGCCTAAAGAGAATGATCCGATTCGTCATTGATTGTTCCACCAGGTTGAAGTTAATCTCAGTAAAATGTCTTTTTGAAAAGCAAATCCAACCCCGTTGTTGTTTAGATGATAAGTTTTGGGGTTGATCTTCAAAGGACTAATCTCTAGGACGGAATTTTAGATATTCTGTTCCTATTGATGTATATTGACTGTTCCAAGCCTGTTCCTATAGGAGTATTACACTATATCAAAGTAGAGGTAGGCTACAACAACAACAGAGTAAGGTGACTATATCACATCTCAACATAGAATAAGCTGTGTGAGTGTTGTTGTTGCATAAATCTGCGGTAATCAGTTAATGATTTATAAAGTACTCTCACAGCCAAATTGCCAATAAATCTTTACAATGCGGGTATATCTTCGATAAACATAATAAGCCTGTGATCCGGGTCTCCCAGGAAAGGCAATTTCCCAGATAACGTTGAAGCGTTTGAACTACTTTGAGAAGAAACCATCATAAACTGTACATAACAGTACTGTACGTAATATGGTCACTGTCTAGTTTTGGTGGGTGCTTGTTGTTTGTAAACGCAAAAGTATTCTTTAAAGTGGCTTCTGGGAAGTGTTACGGAAGTGAAGGAAGGAAAAAGATCCAGGTCGTACCGGTGTAAAGAGCACGTTGTTGCGGGTACTATAAGCATTGTAGCAGGTTAAGCTCTTACACTTCCTACATGCGCCCTGAAACCGACGCATCTAACCCCCATATCCCTTTGGTCCGAACCATTAGAAACAGCTCGTTTCCTAGACCACCCTTTAGATGACTTCGGTGCCATAGACTAACTAGGGTGACCCTTAAGCGGGGTTAGTGAACCGCTGCAACAACAACAGCATAAGCATGCTGTACTGTGAATAAATTCTTGAGCCTCTAACCCACAGATATTTGTTTATAGCTGTTATATTTAGTTCTATAAAACTCATAGAAAAACGAAGAAAATAAGTTCAAAAAGCTAAGAGTCAATTAAAATGCGATGACTTTGTTGTTGCATTGCTTTAATCAGCCGACAAGTAAGAAACACCGGTATGTATAACTTACATTTTTCTCTTAGGCACTTTAGTATTCGCCTCCACTGTAAGCATAAATCAGCTGGTATTGGTTATCATTCATTCCTTTTTGTCTTTAACCCTCTTGCGATACCCTGAGAAAATACCATGTCTAATTTTTATTCCTACTCTAAATATAGACATTAAAACTTATTACATAAATAATATAACAAAATATTTAATAGCAAACCAATTAATTATATCCGAAACTTTGCAATTTTTAGCGCAGTATGGATTATGCACACTTTCCGGCTGAGTGACTTACAGTGCTCTCACTCACCAACGTGTACGTACTACGTTCGTGAATACTTTATGATAAACAAAATTGTGCACGCTTGATGTTGGAATACATTATTTCAAATTCCGGTTATGGTCATTTGCCATTTTTATTAACTTACATTTTAAAGATAAATTCCAATAAACATGGACAGCTTATTGTGTGTTACGATTTTTGACGTTTGACCAAAATTGTAAATTAAGAATCACTGCGTCTGTGAGAAATTAGTTAAAAAGCGTTTATTGAAAAACGGAGAATGTTTGAAATAGCTTACGTAAGCTATGTACATTCAATTCGAGTTCGTTCCTTAACTCATTGCAATATAGCATTTGCGTTTTTTTTACTTAGAAACGTCACAATATTATACAACCCACGGCACACATGTGCGTCTTTTTATACGTCGGTAAGTGCACAGGTCATTATGATATTTTTTTCATGATTGTATTTTTCAGTTTTTCTTCTATTCGTCTGCGCAAAGTTCGTTTACGGTTCGTTTTCTGCGTGTTGTGCATTCTGGACAAAAAATCTATTGGAAAGGTTAATTAAAATGTTTTGAATTAGTAAGAAAGTGAATTAAGTAAGATTCCAATAAGCTGGTAAACATTTAAAAGAAATATTAAAGCTTATAAGTGTTTATTAACCTTGGAAGGAAAAGTATTCACATAGTTGGTTATTTTAGTAGCAGAGACAGTAAGTGCAAAAATGGAAATGGCAAGAAAATTGGTAAGTGGCTGTAAATGGCTCAAGCCAGTAAATACCAGATGCGTATTTAATAAATATATGCTTACAAAATTTGGAACATAAACTAATCCACTCCGACAACAGAGTGCTTATACTATTTTAATTAATAAATACTTTTAGCAGAAGCATTAAAGTGCCTATTATAGATTTTTACATATGTACATACGTGTGTATCTTTGCCTACCTCAGAAAAGGCTTTAGAAAAACACAGAAGAGGGACACTGGTCGATATTATCACAGGCACTCTTTATATGCGTATTTTGAACTTATTATTAGGGTAAAAAATGAGTGTTATGTGATTTTCGATGAAGGAAAAGCAATTATTTTTGTAAATGTGTTAAAGAAAATGTAATAAATCATAATCATATACACCCCCTGTGGACATCAGCAAGTGAGCATTCTGATAAGAGTGCATACGCAAGCAAATCATATTTTCATTATCTTTCAAAAATCATTCAACGGAGTGCTGTTTAAGTAAGACCGTGTCTGCAAGAAGCATAGTGAAGAAGAATATACATTTACATATTTGCAAGGGAAGCTTATCCAGTAGGAAAAGAAAATGGGAAAAATCGAATTTTTTTTCAATTTGTATTCCGTATTTATTCTGAATGTTGCGTTGCTCACAATAATAGTTGGGAATGTGATTATATGCACGTATGTAATCACTTCTTTTAAATTAAACTAAACTTTTTCACCAGTAAACTTAGGACACGATTTGCGGCCTGTTTTATTATCAACCAAGCCATTTATGCATTTTACTGATAAGACAGTCATTTCGCAATTAGCGTTTCATTAGACCAACTTAATAATAATACAAATATTAGGCAGTGTCAAATGGTGTTATAAATAACAAATACACAATAGAGATAGAAATTATCGCATAACTTACGATCAGCTGTTTTCTACTCCTACATCTATCTACGTGTGTAAATAATTCAATTATCGAATTGCAATATTCTTTCCACGAATTTTTTATTTATTTATTCTCTCGTTTTGTGTTGTGCACAGGGGTTAAAATCGTCGAATATAATTCGTTAAATTTTTATTCGCCGGTGAACATGTAACTTGAGTAAAAATCGGAATCGAAATGATTAAATGGATATTGACATCCTGAAGGATAAGAACATATCCCTTCTCCGGATATACCTGAGCCTAGGCCTAGTCCATATGGAATATACCAAAAACAAAGAAATTAATTAGACTACAGTCAAACAGAGCAGAGCTTGTTTTTTATTATATAGTATAAATTTTTTATACGTCTTTTCGTTCTCATCCTGGTACATATGTACCTACTTACTCAATGTTGACTTTTTTCTTCATTCTGTCACTTTAATTTTAACAAACTTATACTACATTCTTCAGTAATATATATACATATACTATCATTAAATGCAAACATATGTACACATGCAGATACAACCGAGTAAACATTTATAAACATATGTAAGTATGTATGTGCATAGTTATTCACTGAGTTTTGGGATTGTATCTTTTTTCTTTCAATTAAATCCAGTCATGGCACAATTACTTATGAGCCAACTCAGACACTGTAGTTAGGTAAGGGTTGCTCTATGTACATGAAATCCGTAAGCGCTTATATTCTTGACATGAAATGATGGTACGCTATAGTGAGGAGCTTTCACTCAGTCTACAAATAATACCCAATTGCAATGACATATTAATGATTTATCCGTTAATGTGATTGATTTCTTTTTTTTTTTTATAGAATGTCGCACATTACTACACATTATTTACCTTTGATTATTCGAATGCTTATTATTGTCCGTTCATTGTTGACGCCAAATAATTTTTAAATTGTGAAAATTGCTCTTTTTTCGATGAGACACCTCCGCTTGACTGACCGGGGTGCCCATGAGGGGAAAAAATAATCTAGTTACAGAAAGCATTCAAAGCATACTCTAGTGTCTGTGCCTAGGAGCAATAGCAAATACATTAAATTTACTTTGTTTTTGTCGATGAAATAAGGAAAACTCATTTGAGAAGCAATTTCAGTCATTCCTTACTCGTTCCTATTCGAATGCACCAACAAAACGGGAATTTAATACTTTTGCTTATTTTTCAAAGATCAAAAACGCTACAACTTTAATATATATATATTTATTTATATAAATAATTGTCGCTTTGTAACCGTTGTAGCGACTTTTCGGCCGAGCTCCTTCTCCAATTTATGGTTTTGCGTCTTGATATTTTTCCAACAAATGGCGGCCGCGGTAGCCAAGTGGTTAGCATAGCGTACTGACATTCGTAAAGCTCGGTCTCATATCCCGGTTCGGGTTCATATCATCAACATCCAAAAGTTATGGAAAATTAAGTTAAATTTTCTAATTGCGGTCGCCCGTCGGCAGGGAATGTCCACCCCTCTGAGTGCGGACATAAAGTAAAAGCTACAACTTCAATTCAATATATAAAAATGTGTACATATATACCAAGTTTTAATATCATTTCTTTTACATTTGTAGGCATTTAATATGTGCATTCATATTTAAAACACCGATTTTTTTCTTTACAAGTAAGAATGTTTAAGTGTTGAGATCAAAAGCTTGTAAGTATCTTAAAAATATTCCAATTGAAGAACATGAAGAATGTTCAAGATCCTGAAAACACTCTAGTGTTGTCTTCAGTGTTGTTCGTTTTAACATATGAAGCGATGAGAATGACAAATTTTTTTACCGTGTGGCCGTTATTTTTATCTAATAAAATGTGTAAATGTCGTCGTAGATCATACAGCTCATCGTTCCGTCGCTAATACGTAATACCAACAATTTTCCCTAAACACTTTAAAATCCCTGTTGCTGATTCACCGGACGTTGTCCGCTTTTGCACCATATAATGTAGGAAGGCGGGTATTATGAACGACCGGTGTTGGATTAATCACGAAAGCTGATGTAAAATACTCATACAACTTTTAGATATCACTCGTCGTAATACTTAATTAACGATTCAGCACTTTAAGAGGGTATAGCGAATCAAAATGTAAATGTTTTTCCTTACTGACTGCTATTCGCAGTGACAATATATTCGCCTGTTTAAAGCTCAAATCCAATAGCTTAGTGACAGCGCTATAACTGCAGAAGTGTATTTAATTCGGCTTTAAGTAGTATTTATATTATATTTTATCCTTGTTTGATTATTCCAAACTCTCCAAATTGGCGAGAATTTGGTCAAAAATTAAGATGAAGTAAAACATAAAAAAAAATAATTGTTGAACGTTGTTGCCATTTTCATAGCCATAACGCTATTGTGTCTTGGGTTTAAGGTTCACATCGACATTTGACATTGAATATTGTGGTGGTGGTGTAACGTCAGTGCCGTGCCAGTCTCTTCTGCATTCCATTATATTGCAATACTGTAATATATACTCACACTTTTTTTCCATTTCATTATTCATTGCTAGTTTTTGATTGATCTGATGTCAGTGCGTTTATAAATTAGTAGCTTTATAAATGGAAATGAATTTAAAAATTTTGATATGTATTTTAATAATAATAAAATAATAATAATAATAAATAATTAAATAAAAAATAAAAATAAAAATTTTGATATGTATTTTATTAGATAACAATAATAATATTAATAATAATAATAGTAATAAATAAATAAATAAAGTAAAAATAGATGTAATAAATAATACGCACAAGTATTTTTGCATACAAACTTAAAGACGAGTATGTACATATGTATGTTCAATTGTTACAGTTATTGCACAGAAGCTCATATGATTTTATTTATTTTTCGTTAATTATATATGTCGTACATATGTTTGTAATTGAGCCCTGAACAACGTTTATAATTTAATTTGATATAGTACATTTAAATCTAATTTTAACCATTGTAAATTTAATGAACTGGGCCGGGAATTTCGTTTATGTATTTCAAAAACTTAATTTTTCAACCCATTTATTTATTGTTAAAAATTCTAGCATTCAATTAAATGATATTATCATATCACGAGCGATTTACGTAAAGTACCATTGGTTTGCCATTCTGAAGGCCATGATTTGAGTTTTGTTTCGACCAACATCCAAAATTATACAAAATTAATTTTTTTAATTGTGGCACTCGATTGGGAATGTGCAGCCCTACGAGCGTATGTATTTTTGGCATGAAATAAAAGTTGGAAGCTTGGAAGTAATTCAATAATAGATATTCACTTTGCTATATTTATAATAATAATAATAATAATAATAATAATAATAATAATAATAATAATAATAATAATAATAATAATAATAATAATAATAATAATAATAATAAAAATAATAGCGTAAATCGTTTGCTCGGCATAGTTATGTAATTATAAAATTTCTGAGATCTCTTGTAATATTTGATCTAACATATATGTATTTGAATAAATACACACAGTCAGCGTCAAAAGAAAGTGTACAGTTCGGGAATAATTACGAATTGGAAATGATTTAACTAAATTGAACACTACTTCCGGCGAAATTTTAGACCACTCCTCTAGTAAAATTTCTTTCAGTGTATTTTTGTTGGTTATATAATATTTCTTTTCCTTACATGCTGGTTTCCACAGATGCTTAATGGGGTTGAGCTCCGGTGATTGTCCAGTTGTTTAGGTGTACAGTAAGGCAACCATTTCTTTACTATTCTCGCCGTATGTTGGAAGATCCAGGATTGATCTAAGCCCGATTTCTCAATGCTAGGAAGCAAATTTTCATTTAAAATGTTTCGGTAATAAATTTTGTTCATTGTGCTATCAATAAACACCATCCTTCCCACTCCAATTGCCGGCGTGCAACCCCAAACCATCACCGACGCCCCACCATGCTTTACAGTGGATGTGATGTTTTTCCGTTCAAACTCTTGATTTTTGTTTCGCCAAACTTTAGTATTTTTGTTTTCAAACTTCAAACTTGCTTTCGTCATTACATTATTCCAAAATGATTTTTCCTTAATTTTCTTTATATTTTCCCCAAATTCCAATCTCCTCTTTTGGTTCTGCGTAGAGATATGAGGTTATTTCTTCGGTACCCTACCATACAGACCATTAAAATGCAATACTCGCCTGTCCGTGCTGGCACTAACATTCAATCCGGATGTTCTGGACATTTCTTCCGATAATATGACGGCACTCATAGTTGGATCTATCTTCGTTTTGGTTTATCCGAACTCGTTCGACCTTCTATTTCACCAAGCTTTCTTTGCTTATCAATAATTTTTTTTACTGCATTTCGACTTCTTCCAATTATTGAAGCAATTTTATGTAAAGATTTTTCTTCCCTCTTAAATGCGGCCACTAATTTCCTTATATCAGGTGAAATTAGCTCATCCATTGTAAAATTGATATGCTGTCCGCTAATTTTCAAACGCAAATAATATCTTATCGGCACAAGCTTACTAAATAACATTAAAATGAGCAGTTGCAATGAAAAATACTATTGATAACGGTACTTTTTTCTGCCTAAAATGAAAATGCGAAGACTACTACCGTATTTGCACCCTATGTTGACGCATCAAATACGGAGTATATTTGGTTTTGTTTTGTGTTGTTTTTGTTCTTGTAAAGTTTTCTTTGGATTGTTGTTAATTTCTTATAAAATATTTAATCATTTTGTTAATGATAATTGATCTACAAAATTTTATTTTTTTTTACACCGAAATAAAGAGTGAAATGTATGAGAAAAAGGTGTACACTTTCTTTTGACGCTGACTGTATAAAAATGCATGAAGTTGGTGACTCTTTAAAAATATTTACCATTATTAGTCATCTTGTTGATCATTTTCTAATATTTCTTTTATCTAATCATTTTGATGCATTAAATGTTTAAACAACTTTAGTATTTTCAAATTTCGTATCTCTCCTCAAAAATATTTTTTCCTCTTAGGTTTTCTTTTCTGTTGTTGTTTTTGTAGCTGCAAGTCTTAACTCAGTTCAGGAGCAAGTAAGATCTGTACAAGTCATTTAAGTCATCTAACGGCAGGTCCAAGAAAAGACCTTTTCGACGGGTTCGAACCAGAGGAAAACAGGGAGTTAGATGAGAAGATTTTAGGTGGAATCCGAATAGGTGGTTAATGTCAATGGGAAGCTCAATGCATTATGTCCAGTCTGCATGTTAGGTATGTCGGGACAGTAACCGCAGAAATATTTCCTAAACATGCTTTTGGAGAAAATCCGGGTCGTTTCGGTATAAACACATGACTATCACGGAAACTATTGGATTCTAGTCGTCTGTTATATTGGATGAGTGCATAAGTTCGTGCCCGATTTTAAGTGCTGATTCATAGAAATCGTGCGGTTTCTCGTTGAAAAAGGTGTCAAGGTGGTTTTTGACGTCTTCCACCTTTTTAAATTTTTTTCCATTCAATTTGTTCTGCAGCGATCGAAACAAATGATAATCAGAAGGTGCAATGTCGGGTGAATATGGGGGATGCCGCATGATTTCCCAATTCATCTCCTTCAGTTTGGCCAGGGTCGGTTTTGCAACATCTGGCCTGGCGTTGTCATGATGGAAAAGAACTCCTTTGCGATTGGCCGAAATCGGACGTTTTTCATCAATTGCTTTCTTCAATTTGACCAATTGCTGACAATACTTGTTGGCAGTGATCGTTTCTCCATCTGGCAAGAACTCAAAATAGATCATGCCTCGGATATCCCACCAAATGCACAGCACTACCCCTTCATCGGATGCAATCCACCTTTCGACATCGGTTCCGCCCCTTCGTGTGCCTGTTTCCACGTTCTTTTGCGTTGAACATTGTTGTACAGGATCCTTTTTCATCACCAGTCACGAGCCGATCCTAAAAAGGTTCGTTTTTGATCCGTCGAAGCAAAGAAATTGCTGTTGACATACGGTCCACTTTGTTTTTTTCACTCAACTGATGTGGCACTCATGTATCGAGCTTCAAAGTGTACCCAACCTTTTTTAAACGACGAAACGCAGTCGATTTGTTGACTTTCAATTCACTGGCAACCTCTTCCGTCGAAATACGTGAGTTATTCGCAACTAAAGTCCTTAGAACATCGTCATCAAGGCCGTCCACTGCATGGTTGCTCTTCGAGGTTAAAATCTCCAGAACGAAATTTCGCGAACCATTTCTTTACTGTGCGGAGTGCTGGAGCACGGTCCAAATAAACTTCGCGAATATCTTTAGTTGCAGCGCCTACTGTTTTTCCTTTGCGGAATTCGTATAACATAATATGACGCATATGATCTTTTTCGTTGTCCATCTTCCATGCGTCTTTTCACTAAGCAACTCAAATCAAAGCTTGATTTACAGTTCGGACTGTCACCTTTCCAACGATATATAATATGTATATATTTCTTTCACGAGCGCCAAACGATTCGAACGGCATCCAGCGGAATCGGGCACGAACTTATGCACTCATCAATACTTGCGCGCGAACTGACCTGGTAGCACTGCATCTATCAAAAGCTTTTGACACCGTCAACCATTCAGTATTACTAACGGACATTGAGGGACTATCATTACCGCCTCGACTGCAGAGGTGGATCATGGGCTACCTGAGAGGTCGATAATCATCGGTAATATTCCGAGGTGAAACATTGAAACCCAGGAAAATTAAATAGGGCGTTCCGCAAGTTGATGTTCTCTCCCTCCTCCACCAGAAGGAATTTTCCTAACCTCGTATTCCGTTGATTGCACGATAATGGCGTTTGGCCAGGATATTGAAGACCTGTGCAAGCAACTACTATTGAGATGCTACCACAGGGAACAACCCAATAGGCATCTTATCAAAGCTGAACCACCATCTAGGCACATCAGAAAGGGAGTACTTGACAAGAAAAACACCATCCAGCAATACGTACAACAAGCGATGGACAGGACGGCGTACAGGCACTGAACGCCATTCACCAGGAGTCAGTCAACACTGTCAAAGACTCCCTTCTCGTTAATGGCGTGCTCGGAGTAAAGCCACCACCCATTGCAGACAATGAGGACACTAACCATTTCTTCACATGTCCCCTTGAACCGACACATCTAACCCCCCTCTCACTCTGGTCCAATCCCGTCGAAACAACACGTTTTCACGGACCTTTCACTAGTTGACCTCGGCGACTTAGATTGATTAAGCCTGTACCTAAGAGGGGTTAGCGAACCGCTGCAACAACAACAACAGTCGCCTCTTATAGCAGGCATGTCTTACCGTGGTTAAATTCTTGAAACTTTAACCCGCACCTGTAATGTTCAACTTAGTCTCTTTGTTAGTGTAAAAAAATTGCTACAGCTGAACAATTGACTTTTTACTCGAAATAATTCTTTCAAGGTACTGACTTATGCTCCACATATGAACCAAACTGGTCCAGCTAGTAGTTTCGTCGTTTATTCATTTTTTGGCAGGAACAACAAAAAGGAGGAAAGCCCTCCGTACGTTTTTATATATGTAATAACTAGAAAACTCCAGTCACATGAAAAAGGATAACGAAATGTACTAGTTAAGCTATAACTCATTTAAAAAATTTAGATTCCCTAATTGGCGCTTTGTAACCGCTTAAGTGATTTTCGGCCGAGCTCCCCCTACAATTTGTGGTTTTGCGTCTTGATGTTTTTCCAACGAAAGGAGGGACCTAAAGTTTGTACTAAGCCGCCTCCGAACGGCTGATGATATTTTTTATGAGGAGCTTTATTTCATGTCAGAAATTCACTCGGAGGGCTTGATATTCCCTGCCGAGGGGTGACTGCAGTTACAGAATTTAACGTAATTTTTATATTTAAATTAAATTTCAATAACTTTTGGAAGTTGGTCGCTCGGGGATTTGAACCCGAAGCCTTCCAAATGGCAGTACGCAATGTTAACTACTCGACTAACGCGGCCACCATGTATATACATATATAAATAAGTGCTATCCAAGAATAGTGTTCAATTTTTTTTTTCTAAAAAGCTCACTATCGGGTCCTGGCAAGAATATAATCTCTAGTAAATGGAACCAAAATAAGGTTTTTTTTTTAATAGGTTTGCCACACGTTCACTTTCCGCAAGAAAAGTTACTGTTAATGCTCATTTTGTTTTTATTATTGCACAATTTGGCAATGAATAATAACACATACATAAATATTTCTTTTATTATTTGCAGGTATAATATGCCTCTGAAAAATGTCAACATAATGCCATACAAATTTTTGAAATTATATACAGAAAAATGGAAGCAATATCCAAGATTTCCCTGATATTGGTTCTATTCCTAATTCTTGCAAGTGTGTGTTTTTTGGATGTACGGGCAGTTTCGCCAGCTGCCAATACACACGATGATACCTATGAGAATGCAAACGCAGATGCTGCGGCGAAAGCTGCCGCCTCTGCAGCATTAAGCGCCGACGAACCATTTTTAGCAAGCTTCGGAGTGCGGCAGGAACAAATTGGAACAAAATCAAAGAAATCACAAACACAACAAAACAATGCTGATCGTCTCATCTTCTCAAAACAAGAGCAGAAGCTAACCGATTCAAAAATACCGCCACTTCCACTCCTTCAGCAACAATCGGCTTCATGCATATCGGCCTTCCACGAAGAAATGCAACAACAGCGGCCACTGAAAAAGCAGGAACATGAAATCAATGTACTAGGCTACAAAATTCAAATACCGTCTTTCGTGATGGATGGCATAGCTACGCCAACAGCGGGCGACTCGAGCTCAAGCCTGGGAAGCGTAGATACCACATTTGGGCACAGTAGTGGAACAGATGATATGAATGTTTTCAAACTTTTCTGTGAGAATACAACCATTAGCAATGTCAACGCCGAGTTACATTTGAAAATGTATATCAACTACGCGTATATACTGTTGCAACATTGTTATGCCCACGAGGACGAGCGGTTCTTGCAATTGCAAAAGAATGAAGACGTGCGACACTTTCGTTGGGCATATAGTAATTTGCGTGATGAGCAAATGGATGCGCTGTTTTCGAACTTCAAATCGAATTTCGAGTCTTTGGAATCTCTTGATTTAACTGAAAATCAATTAGAATGTACACACTGGGTAAGTTCGCAAACTGTGCGGCGATTGAAAGTGTTGAAACTAACGCGCAACTCCATAGACACACACAGCTGTGCACTTTCCGAATTCCAACACATGAATCATTTGATTGAATTGCGCATGGATGACAATCGTATACATGTGTTAAATCAGCAATTCTTGGACCACCTAAGCGAACTGAGAGCTTTGAACTTAACACGCAATCAGTTAAGCGATTTGCCGCGTGACATTTTCCACGGCGCTTTGAAACTGCAGCGGCTCTACTTGGCGCACAATCGTTTAACGACATTACCCTTTCAGCTGTTCCAAAGCATGCGCGAGTTACAAACGCTCGATCTGTCCAATAATCGGTTGCTTTCTTTTCCGGATAATTTTTTCGCGTTGAATGGCGAACTACGTGAGATGTATCTGCAAAATAATGCTATGGAGATGATCGGCAAGAACACATTTTACAATTTGCCCAAATTACGATATTTGGATTTATCCAATAATAATATAAGCAGCATAGATCGCAAAGCCTTTGAGTCACTTTCAAACCTTTTTATGTTGAACATGTCGAAGAATAGCATTAGTACCATTTCCTCGATACTCTTTCATCCGCTACATAATTTGCAACAGCTGGACTTGAGTCACAATAAATTCACGCAATTACCAAATGGTGTTTTCATGTCGCAGCGTGCTTTACTTGTGCTGCGCATCGATTCAACGCCGTTGGAGAGGTTTGGTAACTTTATATCGCGCAACAGTGACTACGTCGATCCAAAAGTACTGGCGAATTTGCGCGTTCTTTCCATGCAAGATAACAAACAACTGACACAGCTCAGTCGTACGCTCTTCCGAAATACACTCAACTTGCATGAGCTCCTGTTGGCCGGAAGCGCTTTAAAAAGTTTACCAACAGAAATTGGCCATCTAAGCCAATTGCAACGTTTGAATGTGCGCGACAACAAACTTACTTATATACCAGAGAGCGTGAAAAATTTACCGAATTTACGTTTTATACATATACGCCACAACGATTACATTTGCGATTGTCGTATGTACTGGCTGGGTGAATGGTTGAGTAATGGTAGCTCAACGCTGCGTCGTCTACGTACAAGCTTATATGCGAGTAGTGTTATGTTGGCCGATACCTCTTCCATGGACATGGGTGACGATATAGATGAGCTCACTGAGTCGCTAACATGTCATCACGGTCATCCAGGCGATATGGTGAATGTCTTGCGACATCTGCATTGTTTGAAGCCGGTCATTCTGGAGTCATCCGACTCGAAAATGCACAAACTACACTCTACAGCGAAACTAGAATGCATATTTTCTGGTAGTCCCACTCCAGATGTGATTTGGGTAACACCTACAAATCAAGTTTTACGCCATCACGCTGATCCCGACAAGCGACCGGTCATAATCAATCACAATAATGATAAAGAGCTTGGACATTTACCGTTGACATCGCTTTTAATGGACGATAATAACATTCTAAATATCAGTTTGCAGACAAGTGATGCTATGAATCGGGTGACTTTAATTGAGAATGGTTCACTGTTGGTGCACGATATCTCGCGCAGCGATAGCGGCCTCTACACTTGTTACGCATACAATATTATGGGCAATGCATCTTCGTATATGAGGTGAGAAGATATGATATGAAATTAATGATTTAGCCTAAATACTTAGTGGTTTTTTGGATGCAAATGAAAGCGGGCGGAAATATATTGTATTAAACTTGGTAGTTTGTAGTCATGAAGAGGGTCCATAAAATAAAGGAGATTACAAGTATAACAGTCACCAATTCAAGAACCACAGTAAGCGTAGACGTCGTTGGTGCGAAGAGAGTGTTTTTTTTAAATCCACCGACTTTACTTCATTATGAGTTATATATTAGTTAAAGAGGTTAAAAACGAAGATTTAGCCTATCATAAAGAACCCATAAGACGCCCTCCAGAGTTCATATATCTAGTTTTTTGTTGCATTTTTAATTATTCTGTTTGCGTATTTCGGTAGAGAGGAAGAGTTTTATAAAGGACGTATTTATTTTTTAGAGAAAATTGAGGTTATAAAAAATTATGCCTGTAGTAGCAACTTAATGAGCAATCATTCAAACAACTATGCTTTGCATAGGTGAGTTTTTATATTACAGTTTATAGGCAATCATGTGTAAATGCATATATATGTATATGTACGAATTTTGTGAAGTTTTCTTTTTATAGTTTCGCTGTGCTTCTCTAAAGGTATGTGCCATTAATACCTCTTAGCTTTCAGGGCATAAAAGTCAATTCAATCTTATCTACCTATTATTTATTAATTAAAAATACTATTACAGAATTTATATTGACCCAATCGTCTTCTATCGCGTTAAAATCGAGAGCCTTTTATCGGGTACTGCGGCTGCTACTGCATTTCTATTGCTAACGCTGATCGTGCAAGCACTGCGCTCTCTGTGTGCAAAGTAAGTATTAAATAAGTAATGAAATTAGCAACTGAATTTACTATTATTTTCCTTTCCTTTTCCGAAAAAAAATGCACCGCAGATGTGGCATATTTGATCGGTTCTATTGCTGTGGACGTAACAAACAATCGCCAAGAGCGCGACAAGTGTATGCCATGCTCGACAGTATTGAATGTTATAAAAGTCAACAATTGGAACGTCTACGCGAGAACTATGCGCAACAAGTAAATATAATAAATAAATATTATATTCATGTCATTAAATTTTTATTTTCTCTTATAATATTAAGGTGCATCGCATTCGAGAAAACTGCGCGCAACAAGTGGAATGGATTCAAAGCAGTTATACGTCTCAGGCCAAATATTTAAAAGAATTTAGGGACATGGGTTCCACTCACCTAACATCACTTAAGGATCAATATTATGATCAGGTGAATTGTGTATTATTTGCTTGCTATCGTCTATGCCCATAATGAATAATTATTTTCATGTTTATTTTTTAATATATTTTTTTTTGGCGCACAGGTGAAAAAGGTTCGTGATTATTCAACAGGGCAATTGAATTGGGTGCGCGAGAATTACGTCTTCCAACGTAATAAAATTCGTAAATTTAGTGCACATCAAGTACTGCGTTTGCGTGAGGGCTACAAATATCAACAACAGTCTCTAAATAAGGTTTTGGAAAATCTTCCTAGTTTCTATTTCGAAAATTGTCGTGGGCGCTGTGAAGAGGATATAGCTGAAGGTTTGTATAAACACTCTATTACATCGATTTCATTACTTTATTAGATAAAAATTACAGAAATTTAAAAGTATGTTATGGCTTCATTTTGTTATATTAGTAATATTTGAAAGACCAAAAGTGAAAGGTATTATTTTATACAAAGTCTAAAGTCGTCGAGGTCATCTAAAGGTAGGCCCAGGAAACGAGCTGTTTCGACGGGGTTGGACCAAAGGGAGAGGGGTGTTAGATGAGTAGGTTTGAGGGGGCATGTGAAGAGGTGGTTAGGTTGAGTACTCTTCTATCATGGTTTTTATTAGAGTACTAAAGTTTCAAAAATTTACCTTCCCAAAAAAGCAGAAAAACACACATTGCTCAGGGTTTTAAAGGACTTTCCTATGTATATTTGTCTTCTTAAAAGCCTCTTATTAAAATATATTCATAATTTAGCCCACCTGAGGGACTTTTGCAACGCTTATGTTCAATTGACAATTTGCACATTCGCTGTATGAGCCCCGAAATCCAATAGAAATCTAACTTTAATGACTAGTAGGCCCTCAATTAATTACTTTTTCTTACAACTAAAACCATCTGGTGTATAAAACTCGATTATATTGAACATATCCATTTCGTACTGGTCACTCCAAGCGTGATTTTGTACTTGAAAAGAGAAATTGCAAAAATACCACTTTGTTAATTGTTGTTTATCAAACGAAGGATAGTTTGTTAAGGTAAGTTATGAAACAGTTACGGTTCACTATTTAATGAAGCTAACCAAATTGGAATGTTGCTAAATATTATTGTGCCTTTGACTATACAATTTTTGTCACACATTTTTGTACATTGCTTTTATTTATTTTTGTTTCTGCTTTCATAGATATTGAGGTGTACTTTAAAAGTCAGTTGGGCGATCAATTCAATCCTAGCGCAGCCAAGGTGAAGAGCTTAAGGAGCAAATTAGCTGTTATGGCTTTGAATTCGGCAAGCAAGGCATCAGTATATTATACTCCACCAGAAAACGAGATAAGACGCTCACAGCTCCAATTACAGACATCTCCTATACACATCAATTACATTAATGAGAATATGGATCATAAAAAACTCGAGTTGAATGAAACAAAAATAGGTAACGAGTTTCTCATGAATACACCTATGATGTTCGGCAGTTGTAGTGGCGGATACGGATACGGCGGCGGCGGCGGCGGCGATGGCATTGGCTTGACATCACTATCAAAGGCTGAGATCACTTTAAGTCAATTGAAAATAACCGATAAGCATCCGGAGGGTGCGGGTAGTATTGAAGATAACTGTTTTGCCGCCACATTGGCGGACAATTTGGTACCCATAAAAACTGCCGTAAAACATAAGTGCACCCATAAGCGTGGTCATAGATGTGAGCGTAATGGTCGCGTTGCCTTGCGCGACAAAGAGCAATGTCATGCCCAGAAGCGAGCGGAAAATGTTGCTGGAGATAGTAACATAGAATTAAATGAATTATGCGATTATAAAGACACAAATGATGTAAAGAGCTCCAAATCTTGTCCGGCCATATATAAAGTTTCCAAGCAACAAGATGGCTCTACATTGCATGAATTACTCACTGAAAACCAAATGGGTGATGGCAATTCGAATAGCACACGTTTAAATCCAGTCGGCGAACCGACACGTATACTAGAAACGGAACTCTTCCATAAGGCAAGCACATCCGGTAATGGCGGCATTAGTAGCCGAAAGCCATGTAAAGAGAAATTGAATATTATTTTAGATGAGAGCGGCAAATCGACACTATACAATGGGCCAACATCTGAGGAGTGCGGAGGTGCACGAAAAAAAGATACTAAATACTCATCATGCACCACAATGGGATCGTCACAAAGCAAAAGCAGTTTGCCGGAATTTGAGACGTATGCCGGCGGTGTTGATGAAATGTGTGATAGCAAGTTCAAGGACGAGCCAGATTCCAAGAATTCAGTGGCAGCTTCAACGTCAGAATCATTGGAAGCAACAAATTGTGACAACATTAGCTTCAGCAGTAATTCCAACAATAGCAGCTGTACTAGCAACCAACGTAGTGTAGATGTAGTAAATCTTTCTTAGAGATTCATATTTTTAGCTATTAAATAATGCATCAAAAGAAAATGTTAAGACAACATACATATTTAAATAAAGAAGAAGCAAAGATAAGGCAAATAAAATCGAAAATAACAGGAAATCAAGTAAAAGTATTTATACAGATTATGGAAGAGAAGTATAATTTAAGATATAATTGATTGAAGGATTTATATTTCAATTTGTGCACTAAAGCAAAATTGTTAATTTATATAATGTGAATAAGATAAAACGAAATAAAAAATGATAAAACTGATTGTTGTAATGGTAGAAAAATTTGACATTGTTTCGTAAAATCAAAGCAAAAGTGTTGTTATACACATTTTAGCTAAGCATAAAAATATAGAAACTGATGAATTAACTTATTAAAATATGCAACTAAAGCCGAAATGAAAAATGATACAACAGTTATTGTGTTTTCCTTTTTACATACTGAAATGCACATTTCAATATTACGCCAGATGAATTTTTGTGAATTTTAAAACAATACAAAACTTGTTAGTATTTGGTAAATTGGATTGAAAATCATAAAAGGGCGTCAAATGTAATCATATTATAATGGAAAAATTCAATATTAATTCAATAAATTAATTAAACTTTCATCAGTGCTTTATCTCAAATATAAAATAAAAGTATCTTATTTTCAATGATAATGTAGGTATGTATACTTATAGCCTTTTATCCTAAATTGTCTGTAACTTCAGTGCCTGGAAATCGAAACACTTCAATTGTGCATATAAATACACACATTGTTGTTGTTGTTGTAACCGCAAAATTATTCCCCAAGTTCTTTTTGGTTAATGTTGCGGGAGTGACAGTCCTTGGTCGGATAAAAATCCGGGTCGTTCCGGTATAAAGACCCGACTGTCGCGGGAACTATTGGATTTTAATCGCCTCTTACGACAGGCATGCCTTACTGCGGGTAAATTCTTGAGCCTATAACCCGCAGGCGTTGATTTCGATCTTAAATCTGAAATCCTCTAATTTTAAGTCTCTTAACTCCTCAAATGATGCTTTTTGAATGACCGAATGTATATAACTTCGTATATTATAGAATGTAGCGCTCGATTTCGGCGATGTACATAGAATGGAATCATTTATTAGCTATCTTCGTGAATATGTGATACACAAAGTTTGATCTCCATGATATTTAATGTCTATATTTTGGTCAGTTTTTGCTATAAGACAAAGAATGTGAATTAAGTGCTAGAGCACCAAAATTTTAAAAAAGTTTCTGAAACCCAATTGCTCCTCAGTTCAATTATATCATATCATATAAATATAATTGGTGCTTTGTCACGCTTATTCGATTTTCGACTGTGTTTCTCTTCCGGTTTGGGGTGTGCGTCTGTAAGTTTCCTACAAATGAAGGGATCTGCATGGCTTAATCGGCAAAATCTACCTGCTTTAGATTCAGAGTAGCTTAGACGACTGTGGAAATATCAAACACCACTCATACAAAATCTGTTCAATTTCTTACTAGATAAAAATATTTGACTTTTGCTATTTTTTTCTGTTTTTTTTTTAGTAAGCTTAATTTTTTTTAATAGGTTTTTATTTTTCAATAACGGTATTGAATAACTCAATCTGCTTATATTTAAATATTTTTAATTAATTTCAGGACGACAAGCAAATTTACAAAAATGGACCATACTCTTTCCTTCATACAAACTTTAATATAATAGCAAATTTACTTATCTATATTAAGATTTGAATCTTCGCGCTGTCGAATTCGTTGAAGTAGTTCTTCCTTCCAACGTTCTTCTGGCACACTAGCAGCCCAATCAGGTACCACAGCATTTGGTAGCGTAATATTGGCCATCACATTTAATATCTACAAACTCCAATTGTTTGAATTTCATATATTTTTCGACATAGTAATTTCATTTTACCTGTGTCGTTTTATTGTTATCCAATTCTAGTTGTAACTCCTTAGGACGTGGTTCACTCCAAACCTGTCTTTCGATTTCAACGTCAACGCTATCTATTTTAGGAGTAGACTCAACCAAAGTATCCTCACTAGCTAGGTCTCTCTCTTGATCTTGTATCACTTCGTCTGTGATTGAATCCACCGACTCACTATCATCAACTGCCATTTCATAGCCCTCGTCTCCTATTGGCAACGGCTGATAACCATTGTAAGCATCGGTGTTTATTTCATTATCGCTATCATCGCTTGCCATCGGAGGATGGTGAACATTTGCTTGTACAGCGTGAACTTCTTCCTCCACAGGATCTCCAGGCAATTCAGGAGCACCCATTTTTTAAGATTCCAGCTTTTGTTTATAAACTAATCAATTTATTATTAACAGCTGTTGATAATTATGAATGTAGATTACACTCCGCTTCAAAGCAAAGTGGAGATCAGTGTTGAGACCAATCACTCTCATTTAGCAGAAAAGTCAATAGGGCATCGCAAATGCACAGTTAATTTTTATTTTAAGCTGTTTTTATCATGGTAATTTTTCATTCATTAATAATAAGAATTAAATATTTAGAATAAAGTCAAATTAAATAAATAAAGGTCTCATTGAAATTTCAATATAAATTTATTTGTTGTTTGTGTTGCCCAAATAAAAATTTAAGGATTTTTTGCTGTCTTAAATTTTTGACTATTGTAAAATTAATTTTCCGTCACTAAATCGTTATAGTTTAATGAACAATAGTTGTATACATTAGTTAAAAATTATTTGCCTGAAAATAGGAGCAGATGTACCATTGCTTTTAAGTTCCAACACTAGTTATTGGAGAGTGGAGAGATTTACATACATATAAATAGTTATGTTCGGTGACCTAATAGTCAGTAACAATTATTATTGAATTTTATTTTATTTTGCCTCGACGGTTGTGGGGCTGCTCTCTGAAAGCTCGACTATGAAAAAGTTCGAAAAGCAATCAAATTAAGACACAACAAAGCCGAGATATTCTAATTTAGCGATAAATAATTGATAATTGCGTCTACAAACTGATTGAACCTTATCAGTATGGCCTTAGACATACACCACCCTGTCGTCGATTTTAAAGCAGCTTTCGACAGCAGAAAACAACAACACTAAATATTACACCTGGATGGGGAAGGACTTCTCCGAGCCGTTCGATATAAAACGAGGTTTCTGATGCGGCGATTCCTTATCGTACGACTTGCTTAATTTTTTGCTGGAGAAAATAATACGAGCTTCAGAGCGGAATAGAGAAGGTGGAATCTTCTATAAGGCTCCCACGTCACTGTTGGCAGTTATAACTTGGAAGTCGTAGATAAGTTCGTCTGCCTTGGAACGAGTGTTAAGATCAACAACAATGTTAAAGAACTACCAAACGAAAGATTAAACTCTACAAGTAGCTCATAATTCCTGTCTTGGTATATGGTGCGAAAGCATAGACGATGACAACATCTGATGAGTCGACGTTAAGAGTTATCGAGAGAAGGATTTTGCGTTAAATTTATGATCCTCTAGTTGGGAAAGGCAAATACCTCAGCCGATGAAATGATGAGCTGTATGAGATATATGTACGTCGACATTGACATAGTACAGCGGCTGCGCTGGCTAGGTCATGCGGTCCGAATGGATGAAAGCACTCTATCTTTGGAATTATTCGATGCAGTACTTTGGAACAGAGCAAGACCTCCACTACAAGCGAATATAAGGAGAGAATAATGCATAAGTACAATAATTTGCTGACATTCTTTGACAATGAATGCTTTGAAGTGGAGCGTGAGTTTTCAAGTGGTTTTTTTCTTTTTTTTTATTTATTTATTTATTTATTTATTTAATAATAATAACAAAGCAATAGTACAATAAGATTTCCATATCTTTTTTAGTACAACAGAGATAGTGTGAAGAATAAGTAAATATTACTTTACAGATACCTTAACAAAAATAATAATAAAAATAAAAATAATTATAATATATAATGAGTTGAGTGTGACAAAAACTTAAACAATTATGTTTGAAATTTGGCCTTTAAAATGCGTATATATGTGGTTCTTGAAATTGCTTCTGTTTAATTTCCTCCTTAAATTAGCAGGAAGAGAGTTCCATAATCGACTAGCATTGACAAAGAACAGCCTTGATGATTGCTGTGATCTATGAAAAGGTATTATTATATTACCTACTCTGGCTGACCGAGTAAACGATAACTTGGAAAAAAGATAACTAGGTGATTGAGTCATGATGAGCTTGCAAAGAAAAATACAATTTCTGGCTTTATGATAGTCCGCAATCGTACATCCTAATATCTGATCTTTCCAAGACGAAATGTGCTCATATTTGGAAAGACCAAACACATACCGTGTGACATTATTAAACATAACGTCAATTTTACGAGCAGAAAAACTGTCATGTTTGCTGTATACGACTTCAGAGTACATGATGACCGGAAGAATAATTTGTATAGCAAGTCGGCGTCTGGTAGCAGTGGGTGTATAGATAGCTGACTGCCTAAGATTCCTCAGAATGAGATAGACCTTACTAACTATGGAGTTTACATGATCCGTGCATGTAAGATTAGAGTTAATAATGTATCCTAAGTTTTTAATCTTGCTGACTAATTGTCTATGAATATTGGGGGCAAAAAATCCAGATTTGTCAGTTTTCTAGCACTGATTGGCAGCACACAGCACTTGTTTTTATTTAAAATTAGACCGCTGGCAGCCGTCCACAGATTTAACACATGTTTTAACGCGACAACCACTTTTGGCTCCGAAAGAATGTTTTCGATGTCAATCTGAACATGGTATTAGATACATACACATTCTTGAGAGCAGTAGTAAGGAAAAAATTTGAATTTTTCCTAATATAATCCAAGCTAAGAATAAGGATAAGTATAATTAGAGTACACACCTGCGTGACTGTTACATATACACACGATTCATATTAGCTTTGCTTATTGTTTATAATATTATATAAATAATAAGAATATAACGAACTCTTTAATCTCTCTTTTGTAGCACCAACATAACAGTTTTCCTAAAAAGCTTCTGGAGGAACTACTAACACTGGATTCAAACATGTTTAATTTGTTTATTAGTACTTAAACATTTATTAATTTAACTGTTAATATTATTATTCATTTTAAATATCGACATTATTATATGAATATTCAGATTATAAAGCAAAGAGGCAAAGCCTAATTATTTGCCGCTAGAAGAAATATACATCCATACACCTATAATATCTAAAGCTGAACCATTTATGTACATCGGAATCTGATTTGAAAGCCAGAGAAATGTTTGCAACGAATAAAAAATTCACGAATTTTATATTTTGGCTCAAATTCAAAGTAATCAAAAACAACTAAACCAAATAAATTTTTTCCTTAAATTAGAAAAAAAACCGAATGGTATTTTTGTTTTTTGCATGTTTACAAACTAAAACTATTCAAAGCATAAAATGCATTAAAAATTGATTGATATGTTTTAAAGTGCACCTTCTAAAGTTTTTTTAGTTTGTTAGTGGATGTTTAAAAAAATTAGATACTCCTAGATATTTTTGATACTCCTGGATTATTTTGAATTTTGGATACTTTTTTTTGAAAGAAAGCGACAACACTGACAGCTACTTAATTTTTTTCTATCATAGAGGAAAGTTTCACTCATGACACAAAAATATACTGGGTATTTTTTACTTTAAAAATATAAACAAACAAGTGCATGATTTTTTTGATGATTTGTGCTAGATAATTATGGAAATTAACCATATGTGTATATTAATTTCAATTAAAGTTCTTCAAATCTTGTAAATAATAGTGTTAAGCTTTTTAAATACTTATTTGCCGCAGTTTCTAATATATCGAATATGGAAGAAGTGGAGACCTATGAAGGTGTTGAGTTTGATAATGAATGGAAACTTTGGTGTCGACTTTGTGCCAAATCGAATACGGAAAAAGTTAATATTTTTACAGAATGGACTCAACCTTACAACAATTACAAAAGGAAAATATTAGCTGTAATAAACAAATTCTTTCACATAAAGGTACATGTGTAAGTGCATTCGTGCATATTCAAATACATACATATATGATGTGATAAATTATTAATCAATTCTTTTTAATGATTTTTGTAGTTTACTCAAAAAGGTAAGCTGCCCCAAGTTGTTTGCATAGATTGTCTAAAAGTATTAACATCATTCATTAAGCTTGCTGCCCGCGTATGTGACACCCAAGAAATGTTTAGCATATTAGAAGAATCGAGTGGCACTACGCAAGATTTAGAGAAATTGTTCGAAAAATATGGGACTGCTTACCATGGACTACTCATAAAAAACACTGTCGAGCTAACTGAGGTCCAGTCGATATCGACATGCATTAGAGATAGCACTTGGGATTCAAGAATGACCAGCACACGACCCATAAGCCCCAATAGGATAATACGTGAAAAAGAAAATAATTTAATACAAGCAATTCTTTTCGAAAATAATGATCCTACAGATCCGTTAGAGGGCGAGATTTTTAGCCATGGCTCTTCATGTGAAGATGCCCATAGTTGCGAATCTGACAAAGGATTTAAAAAAATAGCAGTTGAATTTTCGAAAACCAGTCTGCCGAGAAGGACTGTATCTTTAAGGGAAAGTATCAAAGAAAACAATTACCAATGTGTTCATTGTCCCAAGCGTTTTCAGCGAATAGGTAGCTATCATATACACTTAAGAAGAAAACATGGCCGTATTAAAAATGTATCACCATCGAATGAGAAACCATTATTTAAATGTAAGAGCTGTAATGAAGCGTTTCAAAACAAAACTTTAATGACTCAACATTTGAAATCGAAGCATGGTAATAAAGAAACTTTCGTTTGTGAAGAATGTGGAGAAGTTATTATAGGTAGCATAAGGACACTACGTGATCACATGTTGACGCACACAAATTATGCCCCTTTTGAATGTAATGTGTGCGGTAAATGCTTTAAGCTGAAAACACGTTTAAAGGTAATAGTTCTATATTTGAACATATATTAACATATATTCTTGATCAGTTTCTGATACCTTTTTTTTATAGAGACATATGGATATCCATGGGGAAAAACACATTTGTAATGAATGTGGTTTGCAATTAAGCTCGCGTGCTACACTATATCATCACTCATTTGTGCATTCTGATGCAATGCCGCATAAATGCGACTACTGCGGGCGAGCTTTTAAACGTTCAAAGACTTTAAAAAATCACCTTATACTACACACTGGCTTAAAACCATACGCTTGTGATTTTTGCGAAATGACTTTCACTAACGGTACTAGTTATCGAACACACAAAAAGAATATGCATCCCGTAGAATTTGCAAACCAAGAGGCTTCGGGTGAAAAACCTAACAAAGCTAAAAATATACCCAAATTATCTGTATTAAAATCTGTGTAAGTAAATGTGCATCATTGTTGTACTAGTAATAAAATATCAAAAAATTAATAAATTATTTTAAAGCACTAGGACTGCTCTAAATCTCAAACCTGTTGCACCCAAACGTAGTGGTAATTTTTCTATGGGCAAGAAACCTAAATTGGGAAGAACATCAAGTAAGCAGCACCCGGCAGCTGTAATTGACTCAAATTGTGCTGATTTTGTAGTAAATAAAAATAAAACTAATTTAATATAATTCTGAATGTAGAATCTCTGTATATAGCCTAAAGGATAAAATATGATGAAAAGAGTAAATTTGTTTTTTTTTTTTCGAAAATATAACTGAATTGCGGTTAAAAACTGGTGATACATTGAGAAGCCCATCCATTAAAACGGACGGAAATTGTAACCTAATCGGTTCCAGTGGTTTTTATTTCAAATCCCGGGCTGTTAGCCTTGGCAGAAATTTGCAAATATATAAATTCACCAAATAATTCCTATAGGTAAACCTTTCTCTAAATTACTTACAGATTTAAAATGTGTATGAAACGTTTTCGCAGTAAAATTTATCACATTTAATTAAAACCTAAACATCTATACGGAGAAAAGGAACAACTTTAAATAATTTTTTTCATTTTAATTGACGATAAAACAAACAGAACAGCGATTTTTTTTTTATCGAATCGACATTCCAATTAATTTATCGTTCATATATCGATTTTTCACACATCTCTTTTTGTTTTGCAAGAATTGTGAATTCATTGTGGATAGGCTGCTGACGTATTCTGTAAACAATGGATAAACCTCATGCGGTTGAAAGTGTTTTCGTTCCCGGTTATCCTCTCTTTAAAACACAGGCTTTAACCTCACAGCAAATTTTTGTGGCCAGTTTACCCGTAATATGTGAACCAGATATTGTGGTTAAAACTGAAGAAGAAGACTCTTTAACCAGTGATGGTTGCAAAGCACAAGATACTGCGGATGCGGGTAATGATGATCATTTCCGGTATAGCAGTGAAGACAGTGACACCGATGAGGAAAACAGTGACTCTAACGAAGAGGAATATAAAAGTTCAGAATCCGAAACACCAGACGATAATAAAAAGCAAAAAAGGAAACGTTTAAAAGCAACTGAAAGTCTTTCGGAAGAGTCAAAATTTACTTGTAAAATATGTTCAGCGGACTTTCAACGACACAGCAATTATACGATACATATGAAGAGAAAACATAATGTTTTCGGGGAATCAATCAATTCCAAAACGTCAGAAGATGACTCTAAGAAAGAGGCGAAGAAAGATTCGGAGCCTAAGCAAGATGTAATTGATAAGCCAAAAAGAAAACGTTCAAAATCATCTGAGAAGTTGGTGTTAGAGCCAAAAGTTTCATGTAAAATTTGTTCAATGGGATTTCAACGACATAGCAACTATATAACACATATGAAGAAAAAACATAAAGAAGAGTTAAGGAAAAATCCAGAATACGGAATTGACCCCGATGAAATACCCAAGAAGAAACGCTTAAAAGCCTCCGAAAAGCGGGCGTTGATACCAAAAATCGCATGCAAGATATGTTTAATGGGATTTCAACGGCACAGCAACTACACCTCACATATGAAGAAAATACATAAAATTGTTGGCGAATCACTTCCTTATAGTTGCCCAAACTGTCCTCGCAAGTATGAATTTGAGTATGAGCTGAAACGTCATATGTTGAAATACATACCGATCGATGATAGACGCGTATTTCCTTGCCCACAATGTGATAGAAAATTCCAATCACAAGTGCATGTGGCGAGGCACATAAGGTTTGTTCATGAAGATATCCGGCCTTTCGTTTGTGAAGAATGTGGAGAAGCTGTGCATACTAAGACCATACTAAATGAGCATATGCTAACTCATTCTAATCTTAGACCATTTGAATGTAAAATTTGTGGAACTTCTTTCAAAAAGAAGAACCGTTTGAAGGTAATGTTTTCATTTCTTAATTTAATTGTAGTTTTAAAAATTCTCTACTTAATTTATAGCGGCACATGGAAATTCATGGCGAAAAGCACATATGCACAATATGCGGAAAAGAGTTAAGCTCTCGTGCAACACTTAATAAACATTTACTGGTACACACAGAAGAAAAAGCACATAAATGTGAATATTGTGGACGTGCCTTCAAGCTGATTAAAACATTGAAAGTTCATTTAAACATTCATACTGGAGAAAAAAGATATGAATGTGAATTTTGCGATAGGATATTTACTGCACCGTCGACGCGACGTCAGCATAAAAAGAAAGTGCATCCTGAAAAACTACTTGAACTGGAGGCACCTGCGTCCGCATCAAAAAGAATATGTTCAGAAAACGACGATAAAACGAATATCACACAAAATACCTCGAATTCACTGTGAGTTAGGGCAAATCTATTTGTTCATGGATACGTATACTTAATTTTTTACTTTATTTTCAGTACACCCAAATCAAATGATGCAATGAATGCAGAAGCAATTGACTTCTCATCAAATGTGAATCTTCCGACAACAAGTTCAAATATGTTTTATAAAAATTCAACGACGACGTCAACAAGAGGTATTTGGAATTACAAGAAATTTTAATTTATTTATTGTACTAATAAGGAAACTATATTTAATTTATTGTCCTTAGACTATTCTTTGCCGGACTTCAAAGTATTGGATTTTGTTGGTAGAATGATGATGGAGTAAAGAAATTGCCGGAAGCGCCCGCCTATAATAATGTTCTTAGTTAACTTACTGTTAAAACAGGATAAGAATTATTTTATTCTCTATGTTGTATATACCTAGAATATTAAAATTTTAATTAAATTTTCTTAATTGGTTTTCTTCAGTTTTGATGGTTTTGAACATTAATTAAGAAGCAGGAGAGCACATTTAGAATTACTTATAAGGCTCCAAAATTTATAAAATATATATCGAACCAATGCATTGCAATAGTTCCGTCTGCCATACCCTAAATTCTCAGCTGTCAAATGACATTCCATTTTCTGTTGAACACAAAAGTTGGCAACACTAGCTGCAAAAACAAATGCAGAAACGTAAAAGAGAGACTTGGAATCACAGAAACGCTATCAATCAAAATTTCCATAATATACATATATTTCCTGCTACTGAAATCTGTAACAAAAATATAATATTCCTAGTGAGAGTAAATTTAATCCCAAAGTATAATAGTATATTGGAATTTAACTATTGTGTAAAATGAGTACGAGTGGTGATTCGCAACCTTACCTAAACGATTTCATGATGCGAGACGATGAGGATGGTGTGTCGGGAGGTAAGTAAACACAAAAGTACCTAAATGGATGCGCTCTAGTTGCAGCAAATATATGTATATGTCTGTTTTCGTTCAATTCAAGATGATGAATCGGACAATAAGCATAGTGGCGGTAACTATATGCTGCGGGAACAAGATCGTTTTCTGCCCATATGTAATATCATCAAAATTATGAAGGTACCAGTACCGGAGAATGGTAAAATTGCTAAAGATGCGCGTGAATGCATACAGGAGTGCGTTTCAGAATTTATATCCTTCATTACATCCGAAGCCATTGAACGGAGTATAGCGGAAAATCGTAAAACTGTTAATGGTGATGATTTATTATACGCTTTTGCCAATTTGGGTTTCGACAATTACGTAGAACCGCTGTCTATGTATCTGCATAAATTTCGCGAGGTGAGATAATGCGTTTTTAATTTGTATGCGTTCTAAATAATTATTTAGTTTACTGTATAGTCAACCAAGTCGGATCGGAATTTATATAATGAGTCTAATATGCTACAAGATGATTCTTCAACTGAATTTCGTAAGATCGAACTGCCGTAAAAATACGCATACGATTATATATATATATATATAAACATGTATATTTATTTAATATAATAAATTGGAAAAAATAAACAAAAACAACTATTAAGGCAACACCATATAATTTTATACCATGTAAAAATACACGCATACGCATGTTCTCACACTTACCCACAGCACCATTGCCTGCCAAGGAAACCCGAATAATCTTATTAACAATGCAAATATTAATCAATAACACAAACCACACATATTGGGTTACGAAAAAAATTAAAACTTTCATTAAAATTAGAATACCAATTTCATATAATTTCTTCTGTAATACAATATGTTTCAAATACAAAAACACCCAAATCTCTACAGCATTTAATGTGGACAACAACAATGCAACAAAATCAATTACAACAACAACGAATGCTATCAACCGCACCACAACACCAGTGGCAAACACTGTTAACACTTATTCAGATATGAAATTATTCGAAATAATTGAAACAAATTCACAGCAGCAACAACAATCGCGTCAACAAAATAGTTTACAACAAATTATGCCGGCACATAGTATGACCATAACACCAACATCATCCACAACATCCGTACCCATTAACATACTAAATGCTAGTTGCAATCAAACAAATGCACCATCAACTGTTCGTGCAATTAATATCGATAATACAACAACAACATTTGGTTCAGTACGTCGGTCGGCACGTCTACAAACACGTCCCCATCAGTTACCTATTGTAACAACTGTAGCGAATGAAACACCTGGTGCTATAATGAATGCTGATCAATTGGTATTTTTTGACGCTGATGAATTACATCAACATGTTTTACAACAACAACAGCAGCAACAACAACAGCAAAATAATAATTGCAATAATTATATGCATATGTAAAGCAGTCTGATGCCTTCAAAAAACTTGGGTTGTGCAGTTTTTACGAATTTAATTGTGAAATTTTTAAATAAGTGTGAATGTGGAAGAATTTGTAACTCCTTAAATTTTATGTCAACCATAATATACTTTTTTTAAATCAAAAATCATACAAGTTTTTCTATCTAAAATATGTTTTATGTATATTATTTTTTATAACATAGGCTTTAGTTTCCCATAATCTGTAAGATACCACTGTTAAAAAAAAATTATGTACAATTACAATTTGGTTATGTTTTTTTCGATAACTAAATTAGGTTCTTGCTTACAAAGAATTTTTCCTCATTAAATTTAGAAATGAAAATAAAAAAAAAACAACATTTGCAAAAATAATAATTAAAACATCGATATAAAACATAATGAAATGCTTGAATAAAAATAAAGACATTTTATCATGAAACTCAATACATGGTTGGTTGATTGGTTATACCTATAGATAGGTAGGTATTTCGAACAAGAGATATTATGCCATGCCCACAAACCGCTGTGGAGAAAATAAATAAATGTAGTTATCGGCATACATAATTGCATCAGGATATCTACTGATTCCAGATGACCTTGGGCGAAATCGGGCAATAATCACGACTACTTCTATTGTAATAACAAGGTTTTTCTTATTCCTATACAATGTATATTTCCATTTTGATCAAACACACAACGTATTTTTTACTGTCTTATAAAAAATATTTATTATGTACTTAATATTTAAATGTAAACAGAATGTATGCCCCCCCTTTAACCGCACACAGTCATAAGCATCCTATACTAATATATGGTGGCTTTTGTGTAACAATTTTGCAATAACGTAAAACAGTGTATGAACATAATGTTTAATATTTCAGCAATGGAAAATTTAAATGTTTTAATATATTGTCGAACAGTATATATGCACCTAATGACTCTTCAATACACAATAAATGTGATAGATATACAATTTCTTAATATAAACACAATCAAGTGATTCCCTCTCCAGCTCAAATATGGTTACATATACATATATACTTAATATAATATAACAATTTTATAACAATATAAAAAAACATTTGTTATTTATTTTGTATTTCCGTCAATACTTCATTTAAGGGCACGCCAATAGGTACATTATCGCTATCCTCATCAACAGCATCATCCTCAGGCTCAGTTGGTTGTGGCTCGAATACTACGCGTCCACGTATAACACGCACACGCGGGCCGATTGCGCGTGTATTTAATTCGATTTTCCCGCAGCTTTCCGGACGTGTAGAGCGATGCATACTTAGACCACTTATACAAGAGAATTGCTTGTTACAGCCGTAGCATTTGTAACGTTTCATGCCTATATGACGTGATAAATGTGAAATAAGCGTTTCACGATGTGTAAAACTTTGCGAACAGATCTAAAATTAATAAATCACCCATTAGATATTTGAGTAAAACTTATTAAACGTATATTTTATAATACCTCACACACGAACGGACGCTCGCCGGTATGTGTACGATGATGTACGGTCACTTGACCGCGGGTACGAAATCGTTTTTCACAGTAGTTGCACTTATGTGGTAATTCACCTGTATGTATGGTACGATGACAATTCAGTGTGCTGGTCGAGAAGAAGCATTTATGGCAAATATCACACTCATTTTGTGGTTTACGTCCACAATCATTTCGCAGATGTTCTTTCACCATACCCTGTGTGGAATAGCGACGACTACATTTTGGACAGATATAACCCTCTGGATGTTCTTTACGTTTGCTGCGATTATTTCGACGCCTCGAAAGTTGCGTTTGGCGTTTTGGTAGATCTGGAAATGAGTAAAAATGTAATTATCGGTATTTACATATGTGAATTACGATATAATCTTTTTCTTGTACTTTCTACATATGTATATACATGTAGACATATTTACCTCCACCATTTTGAAGTAAGGCATTTGTTGCTGTTGAAGTGCTACCGCTACCTAGCGAACAATCACTAAAGGTTGCCGTAGATATAGAATCGTCGTTTTGCTGTTCAGTCATTTCCTTTTCTATCTCCTTTTTTACATCCTCTGCATTTATTTCAAGCACTTGCTTTACTTCCAAATTTTTGTTATTGTTTTTGTTCACTAACACTTCATTTAATAATTCCGACAAACTTAACTCTTTATTTGTTTTTGTTATAGATTCGAGTTTGGCCACTGCCGCCGTTTGGTCTAATGGTGGAACCTCAATTTCCTTTAATATAAAGCAGCGACCACCATTATTATCATGTGATGACTTTAAAGGTATATCTTGCTGCTGATCACTTGTGGACAATACTGATGGTGTATCGGCTGTTACGGAATGAATGCTGTTATTTAAGGCTTGTGGTGAGGTTTTGGGTGTGACAAGTTTAACTAGATTCGGTTGGAGTTCTTTTGCCATTTTTACGATCTTAAAGTTTGAGGATAATTTTAATATTTTTGAAGGTATCTCATTTATGTTTGTGTCGCTTTGTGCTGCAACAGCAACACTTTCCACGGTGTTTGTTTTAGTTTTCCTCATGCCATTGGGTATCCTTTTAAACGATTCTGTCGTTAACTCCGGTGCTTTTGTATTTTCTAAGTTATCTTCGCGTACTTTGTTTGTTAAGTTAAACATTTTCGGCACACTTTTTAGCGAGAATTTAGCGGTAATGCGCTGTGCAAGTGCTTGACCCAATGAGTTTCGTTTATATTGCAGAATGGCTGGTGTGGAATTATCCTCTTCATTTTCAACTGTTGTGAGACTTAGTGGAAATTTTCGAAGACGTAGTTTTACAGGCACAATCGGTAATCCATTCATGAGTGTCGAGGACTTATGAAATTGTACTTCATTCGTATTTAACGATTCGGTTTTTGGTTTTAATGGAAAATCAGGTATGACAGTTTCAAAATCCATCGGTTCTTTTTTAATTTCAATTAAATTAGGAGGAATGTTGGTAATTCCCTGTGACGTACTATTGTCCAATAGCGGTTTGATTTTTAACTTCAAACCGACTGGAATAGCAGTGGAAGCTGGAGGTAAAAGTTTATTTTGATTGCCATTACTTTTAACGTAGCAGTAAATTTATTTGCTTCACTTACCACTTTTGATTTTGTAGGAATTTCTTGACTCTGTCTGTGCTTTACGCTCTTGCAAGAGTTTTATGATTTGTTCTGGTGTTTCTTCTTGTATGTTTACTATACGGCCACATCTATCCAATAATGATGCCCAATGTTCGTGCAATTCTTGTATACTAATAAACCAATCACGGCATATGGAGCAAATAAAGCGTTGCAATTTACTATGCATTTTCACTTTATGTTGACACAGCTGTTCAAAGTTATGAAATTTGTGGTTGCAAACCTGTAGTTGATTTATATATTTACGGTTTCATTTCAGAAATTTAAAAAAATATTTATTAAAGATTTACTTACATTGCATTTAAAGATCGTTATGTTATGCAATCCATATTCATGTGCCTCACATTCCTCCAATGAGCTAAACCAACTTTCACATGTCTTTCGAATGCAAAATAAACGATTTCTTCTATGCTGTTCCATGTGATAAGCATAATTCATGTCTTGTGTACAACGTTTCATACATAATTTGCATATTACAATTTTTTTTGATTTTTTAACTTCTGTGGGCTTCAACTAAGAGAACAGAATTTAATTTGATATATAAAAAATATTGGAATAAAGTTATTCATATTTCATAATTACATACATTAGTTTTGAGTTTTTCGATGAACGCCAGTTCACCATCATCCGGTGGTAGGTCCGCTGCTGTTACAGTTATAATATTCTCATGCTCGTCTAGCACTTGAAAATGACAAGATAAATTATGTAATTGCTTTTGTTCAGCGGAGGCATCATTCGTGTATTTAGGAAGGTTTTCGGACGAGTTGAAGATTTCAGTTGGATAATCAAAATTATCCTCAGGTTCCGCTGGATAAAAGGGATAAAATTTGTTTAAGTTTAGATACAATTTTTAAGACTCCTAAACAACGGCTTTATATTTTTTTATGCACTAGAAAACATTTTCGAATTCTAATAAACTAAAACTAGCCATTTTTTTATTATTGAATAAACTGTGTATTGTATAGCCGCAGCTGATAATGAACCAAAATATATATATGTAAAACAACTTAACTAAATATACAAAGTCACACAATATAACAGTAATAAATAAAATGCTAATTATTTACCTCTAGTCAATTATAAAAGACACATGGCAACTTAATAGTATTTTAAAGTGTGCGCTGAATTAAAACAGGCAAGCTGACTAATAAAAATAATTGATTATCAGCTGTAAATTATTTTCTACATACCCTTTTGTCTAACCACATATATTCAAAATAAAACTGTTTTACCTTTAATTTGTACATTTTCCGGCATGCTTTTACTGCTCTTTAATATACTCGAAAAATGAATATCCTTCGCTTCTACACTTTCCAAAACCGTTTCCGCATAATTATCATCGTAAAAATCAGGTTCCTCTTTAATGATTATGTCTGGATTTAAATCCACTATATCAAGAACCTCATTTTGACTACACGCCCTTTTGCCACTCATACTAAAAGAACATTCAATATTGACTCCGCTGCTACAAGTGGCGTCAGCATCAACATCGTCCATTTCCGCAGCGTAGTTTTGTTCTAGCGGTTCTTGCTTTATTTGTACCGACTCGTCTGCCATAACCGTTAATCTTTACAGCAGTCCAAAGAAGATGATAAAATTCTTAGCACAGCTACAAATTGATTTCAGCCCCAAACACACATTACAGAACGCAAATTGTTGATTTATTATTATTGTATACAATTTTACGGTGAAGCTTTTGTCCGCACACAATTTTAAACCGCGAGAATGTGTGAGTTAGGTACTTTCGGCATTCGGTGATCGAGGAAATGTCAAAAAGAAGTGACAGCTCAAAACAAAGAAATGAATCTTGAAAGAAAGGGAAATTATTCAGGGTAGTTTTGAACGTTTTTTTTAAATGGCGTGCTGCCATACCTGAAAAAAGAATTATATAGCTTTGACTGAAAGAAATTAGTACGGTAAATTTGAATGGAGAAGAATTTCTATTTCTTGTGTAATTTTATTTGTAAAAATTCATTAGCATTTTTCTGAAAATTAAAAAATTATAGTGTCATTTCACCTCTTTTCTAAAATGAAAAGTCGCGTTTTGTACCGTACAGCGAGACGAATTTTTTAAGTTTGATTCAGATAAAAGTTTCATTCTCGCTTTACACCGAAGTCACTTTTGACAGATATCTCCGAAATAACTGTTTGTTATTATTTATTTTTTTTTTTGGTGAAGTTAGGTGAACCAAAATGTCGCCGAACATTAATTTTTTTAAGCTTACTGAACTCAGTACCTGATAATTGAATTTCAAAATAAAGATTGAAAATAACACTACATTCAATTTCTTATGGGAAATTATAATTGTATGTCGCTTTGTAGTCAGAAATTCATTAAATGTATCGCCTCCAAAGTAGCTCTGTTTCCGGTTTGAGCTCACAGCTAGGATCACTCGATCGATTTCAATTATCAAATCAGTTGTCATTCGTGATTATATTTTACTTGCAAGCGCAAAGTTGAATAAATAAATTTGACAACAACAAAAAGCGAGCTGGGATACTTGATGGTCTCCACAAAAGTATCATCTGTCAGCAAGGCGAATAAAGGTTTTATGTGTGAATCAGCCTTAAAGGATATTAAGTAAATTAACATTAAAAAAAAAGATAAATATGAAATAAATAATTTTTTATATTTTTTTTTGTATGAATTTTAAATACCGCATAACTGCTTTAACAAATTTGGAGCGTTGAATGCTGAGCAACTGTCAAAAATCAGACTTTTTTTCAAAAGACTTATTAAGGAAAATCTATAAAAGAAGTTGTCAGTTTTAACTATAGATATATGTTTTCACAAGAGAGCTTTCAGAGTTCAAGAGAAATTTTAGCCATTTCCACTGTGTAACCGCGTTTGATTTGTCATTTAATTGTAGAATTCACTATTATATTTTAACGATTTTCGGATCACTGAAAAAAATTAGCGATAATTTTAAGACAAAATAAAAAATGGCATATTAGTCATACGTTACATTACAAGATGCGATGATATCGTCCACATGATCTTTAGAAGGAAGTTTGTTTGGAGAAGTGAAAGATTCTTTCAACTTGAATGCTGTTTGATTTTGTGTTGTAAGTTTGAGAATAAATAAAAACCGAAATGGGTAGGCATATTTTAGGCCTGGAATTCATTGAAGATGAGGAAAAAATTGCAAAAAGCCGTATTTTAAGAAGTTTTCGAGACTAAAAAATAGCCCTTTAATTTGTAAGATAACGTTTTCATTCAGCTTTTTTTGTTATCCAGGCATATTTTCCATAATTAGGTTAAAATATTTATGATTTAATAAACAAATTAATAAAACTTTTTAATTTTTTTTGTGCACCGTCTTCCATTTCGATGTGAATATTTTTCTTTTTACTTTATCAACTGGCAATTGTAATTTGACATGGAAATGTTAAATTCTTAGTGAAGAGTTGACGATTTTTTTTTATAATTACCTGCTTTTGAACTTTTCACTTTGGAAATAAATTCAAAAAGTTTTTTTTTTTTTCAAACAACGCATTTTATTCAAATATTTCATTCAAAATTTAAATAGTTGTATGTACGTTGGTAATGCTTTTTTTATATGTATGTATATAATTTTCATAATAATGACACTAAAATTAGGTAACTATAAATATACAAAGGCAGAATTAAATTTTTATAATAATGATAATAATTGTGGTAGTAATAAAACTAATAAAATAATAATGAAATTAGAAATAATAAACATAATAATAAAAAGAATTGCAATAATAGAAATTATAATAATTATATAAATAATAATAATAATAATACAAATAATAATAATAATAAAAAAAATAAAAATAGTAGAAATAATGAAATTGTATAAATAATAAAAGTAATATAAATAATAATAATAATAATAATAATAATAATAATAATAAAAATACTAATAATAATAAAAATAAAAATAGTATAAATAATAAAAGTAATGTAAATAATAATAATAAGAATAATAATGATAATAATAATAATAATAATAATAATAATAATAATAATAATAATAATAATAGTAATAATAGTGGTAATAATAATAATAATATATAACATAATAATTAAAATAATAATAGCAATAATAATAATAAAAATAATACCAAAGCTTATAATAATTATGTTAATTAAAAAAAAATATTTGAATTATATAATACTAAAAATAATATTGAAACATTAATAATAATAATAACTTATAATAAAAGCAATAAAAATAACAATAATAAGAAAAGAATGATAGTATTGCACAATTATATTATATTAATGAAAATAACTTATATAAATAATAATAATAATAATAATGAAAGAGTAATAATAACATTCTTTTTTATTTTCATTAAGTATATAATATAATATGATGTGACTAAATTTTAACAATTTTTTTGTATGCAATTCTGTTGCTTTCTTCTGATTTTTTTTTACCATTTCTCTTTATCTACTAAATGTTATGCATTTGTTTTTTGGTGTGTTATATTATTTAATATTAATTGTTAATGTAACTATTTGTTTTGTTTTAAAAACTCTATAACCATAACAATTTTTTTTCGCTATACGTATTCCATTTTTTATCTAATGATGTAAACCGTTACATATCTTTGAACCGTTACATAACTAACATTTCATATGCAGCTTATGCAGCTTCTTACTTTTATTCAACGCTTAAACAAAATGTGTGGTCGAAATACAATACATACATAAGTAGTTATTAGAGTCGAGACTTTAAAGTTAGTAGTAACTTGGTTTTTTTTTGTTTTGGTTTTGGTTTTGGTTTTTGTTTTTGTTTTTTTTTTTGTTTTTTTTTTTTTGATATTATATTATATATTTTGTTCATTTTAATAGATACGTGACCTTCCATGCAGGTAAATGTTAAATAAATGTAGTTTCGTAGTTGGAAATATTCTCAAGTTCAATTTTGATACTAACTATGGTTTAAGGGCGCTAGATTTTCTTGCAATCGCTTCGATTAGTATATGTAGTAATAAGTGATATATGTATGTATATGTAATTATGTATGCAAGTGTGTTGCCGTTTTGCGTTGAAGTCTCAATTAAAGCATTTTCCCGGTCATATTTAAAACCAATTGATTTATGTACTTGTGTGAGTATTTATTATTCATTTACTTTATTTTTGTAATTTTTTGTAAATTTTCCAATTCAATATAATTTCCATTATACGCTTTCAACTGGTACCTGGTAAGCTTGTGGGCGTTATAATTTCATATAATATTTGCTGATTATTTTCGACCGTTTTTTATTGGGTTTTGGTAGTCGTGTTGGGTTAGTTAGTTAGTGCATGTCGGTTTGTACGTGTACATATGTAAATAGCGCATGATTGAGGAGATATGTTCAATATGTGTGTGCGTGTGTATGTGGGTGTGTGTTGACTTTTTGTTATTTTATAACCTTTTAAGTTCAGCTATGCATATTAGTTTCGCTTATATATTTTTCTTCTACTAAATTTGCTTTGGTAAATGTATGGAAGAATATTCATTTTTGAATTCGAATTGTTGTTACTTTTGTTTTTTATTTTTGCTGTAATTTTTTTTTTGTTTAGTTATAGTAGATTTTAAGAGTAATTCGGTAGATGCAGCATAAGTCAATTAACAAAAAGTAGAATATGTAAAGAATGAGACTTTCGCGTTCTATATATGTATGTACGTACGTATGTATGCATGTAGTTATTATTATTTTTTCATTATAATTAGAATTGAGTATTTAGCTTTTTTGAATTTTTCTCATTGGACTTAGTACTCGTAATGCAAAAATGAATGGCTATGTACGTGTATGTACGTGTATGTTATGTTATGTATGTATTTTATGTACGTAAGTTGTTTTGCACTTAAATTTGTTGCTTTTTGCATGCTTTCAAGTGTAATACGTATTTCTTGTCTCATGTTATTAGTCTCTTATAATATTTGATGCATTTTCAGTATTTTTTTTTTGTTTGTTTTGTTTTGCTTTAAATATAGTATTGATTTGATCGAAATTAAAGAATTTTTTTTTAGTTAGTTTTAAGTTAAAACTTTTCTAGTTTAGATTTTTCTTTTTCTTTAAATTTTTTTTTCATATTTTTCATATTAGATCTAGTGTAGTTTAAGTTGGTTTAGCTCCACATTATAATTTATTGCTTGCTTAAAAGTTATTTTCTAAAGAAACTCTGCTACGCCCCTTACGTGCGATGCTCGGTTTTTGTTTTGCTCTTGCTCCTTGAGTTAGAATTGTTTATTCTTTTACTATGTATTACTTTTACTTTTGCATCTTATGCAAGTACATATGTATGTATGTTTAATGGTTGTTTGTTCATTATTAAGTCATAAATGCCTAGAGATTTTTAAGTATATATTATATATATGTATATACATACATATATATGTGTATAGATTAAGTACTAACTGCTTTGCGTTGTTTGCAAAAAATTTAACAGGGTTTCAATTATTGTTGTTGTTGTTATTCTCTTTGTTTTTTTTTTGTTTAGTATTTTTTTGTTGTTAATTTAATTCACTTTTTGTACAAATTCCTACATTCTCTTACAAATTTTCTAACTTGCTAAATTGTTAACGATTAATTCTGTCTCATTTCAGAATACTAATTTCTTTTATTTAACTATCGCAAAGATTTGAGAAGATATATGTATGTATATATAGTAGGTTTTAAGACAAATAATTTTTGGTTTTTTTGTTTTTTTTTTTTTTTGCTTTTGGTATAAATGAAAGTAGGAAAGTGGTCATATCTATGTGCGTTACTTGAATAAAATCAGACGAGGGATTTACGCGAGCGGAGCGTCAATTTAACGCGGAATCTATGCAGCTCAATATGCCACATATTTATATATACTGATTTTTTTTGTTTTTTTTTTTTGCATACCCAAAGCGAGCAGTGAAATATTAAATAAGTGCTAATAAATATATTTGCTTAATAAATGTAACGGCGACTTATTAAAAATCGTATTTAAGCAGTTATACGAGTATAAAGGTTTCAAATTGAATAATAATAATTTCTGTTATAACAGTGTTATGAGAGTTTTTCAATAAGCGCGTGTTGACTCATGCGTACATTGTTTTACAATACATACATACGTTATTAATTGTCTTTGGTTTAGGTTAGCTTTTTGTTATGCAATTCGGCTTAGCAAATTAGTTAAGTTTTATTAAAGTAAGTTTTTTTATCTTCTTTTTTTAGAGCTTTCTAGCCAATTTCCAATGCTATCTAAGTAAGTAGTGAATCTTTGTTTGGTACGTTTGAAATGTACATATCATTCTGATGTTCAAAATACCATTTATGCTCATATAAAATTCGTTTAAGGGAAATAACGGTACATTTTAATAAGGTAAGTTCTAAAATTTTACGTACCACTTAATTTGAAGAAAGTCAAAAGAAACCAAAAAAATTCAAAAAAATAAATTAAAAAAATTAATAAAAAATATTAATTAGTACATTTTTGTTGGAAATTTATAAAAAAAAAAAAATAATAACGAGTACATTTTTGTTGGAAGTTACCGTTAAAATATTACAACAAATTTTGAATAAAATAAAAAAAAAATGTATGAAAAGATAAAGTATAAAAAAAAATTGTAATCAGTACATTTTCTCTATAAATTACAGTTAAAACATTGCTAGTAATATCGAAAAAATAATAAAAATTTTATAGAAAAAATATAAATATAATATAATAGCAATTAGTACATTTTTTTTATAAATTGTCACAAATTTTGAAGAAAAAATTTTTTTTACTGGACTTTACCGTTAAAATATACAAATTTTTGATAAAAAAAAAGTCTCTATTAAAAAATAAAAAAATACTAATTTGTATATTACAGCGGCAAATTACTGTTAAAATATTGCTATACATTTTGAAGAAAAAAAGTTTTTGACGGACATAAGTGTTAAAATATTAGTAGGAATGCCGAAGAAAATTAAATTTTTAATAAATTTTTTACTAAAAAATAAAATTTTCTCAAAAAAAAAAATAAAAAATTTAAAAATACTAATTGTTTTTTTGTTGGAAATTATTTGGAAAAAAAATATATAAAAAGTACTACGTACTACATTTTTCCTGGAGATTACTGTCAAACAAAAGTTTACCAATAATAAGAATAATAATAATTATAACAATAATACATTAATAATCTTAATAATGATAATAATAATAATAATGAAAATAAAAATAATAGTAAGAAGATTAATAATAATAACAATATTAAAAAAACAATGTTTTTCTGTATATTTAAAAAAAATGTTTAAATGATAAAATAATAATAATAACATTAGTTACACCAAATTTCTTATTGTGTGGCTTAAAAAGTTTAACTTTCTAGGGGAAGCAGCTTTTAAGCGCTTTTCGTATGTCACCCAACACTAGCACACACAGCTGAAAGCTTTTATACTGCACTTTATATTGAAGTTGAAGCTTTGAATGTCTCCAAAGCAATTATAAAAATCACAAGCCTTTTTCATTTTGCAGCTTTTAAAGCTGAGAAAGCGTTTGCTTTTTTTCTTTGCTGAAATTGTGGTAATAGTGTGGGGTATTTTTTAAGTTAAATTTTAATAAATATCTATGTAGGTGTTCATGGTAAATTATAAGCAAGAAATTTGTGCCACAATAATAATAAAAATAATAATAATAATAATAATAATAATAATAATAATAATAATAATAATAATAATATTAATAATAATAATAGTAATAATAATAATAATATTAATAATAATAATAGTAATAATAATAATAATAACAATAAAAAAATAATAATATTTATAATAATAATAATATTATCATAATATTAATAATAATAACAATAATAGTAATAATAATAATAATAATAATAATAATAATAATAATAATAATAATAATAATAATAATAATAATAATAATAATAATAATAATAATAATAATAATATTATTAATAATAGTTATAATAATCATAAATAAAAACAAATTATAATAATAATAACATATATAAGAATTAATTACTGTTAAATATATACAGCAGTGTACGGTTTCATATGCATAAATACAGCATATATATATATAATTAAATAATAAATTTTCTTTTTATCTAACAATTTGCCTATAAAATTCAATAAACATTCCTTACAATATGATATTTGAGGAGTATATAGAGGAGCGCGTGAAAAAAGACGAAATTTAACAATTGCATTATTATACAATACACACGTATATGTATATCTTTATATATATATATATATAAGTACATAGGTATGTATTTAGTTATAACTTGTGAAAGTATTTAAGAATTATAATTGTTTATTTTTTTAATTTTTTTTCTGGATTTATTATATTAATATTAGTACTGAAGTAACGCTTAATGTACTACTTTATGCCGTTGGATGTATGTTTATATATATATATATATGTATACATTTCTTCATTTTTTTTAATTACTATATGTAAGCTGATTGGCAACAATCTTTGATTGCCCGGCCTGTTCTTTCGATTTTTCATTTATTTTCTTTTAATTTTACTTAAAATATACATTTCGGTTTAACTATTTATTCATTTCACTATTTGAAGTTTACATTATATTAACATTTTTTTTACTTTTTAAATTATATATATGTAATTCATTTTATACTCTTAAAACTATATCAATCACCTAACTTTCACTAAGTTTCATTTATAATTATACATAATATATATATGTATATATATATTTATTATTTATAATTTATTATTTTACTATAATTAATTTACTGTCTTTTCTTATTTCTTTTTTTTTTGCAATTATTATTATTTTTTTTTTCTATATCATTAATTACTTGCCACACTTTACACTGGACATTGGAGTGTATCATATTCGAACATTAATGAAACAGCAACAAAAACGAAATACAACAAAAACATTGTAAAGCCAAGTCCTCTATTCATTTTCCAACGGAAGCAGGCAATCGACATTACGACAAAGATCAACATCATGAAGAGTATAGTTATTGAACAGACCATGCCCACGGAGTTAACCTCGACGGGTGCATCATAGATGATGCCGTATATTAACCATGGTATGGGTAAACTAAAAATAAAAGAATACAATTTTTATTTCTTAATTAATCAGAAGTCAGTAATAACATTTAGTTCATATTAAAATTCAATATATTTTCAAAAAATATAAATATTGTAAATAAAAGGCAATTCGCTTGATTATACATTTTCCCGACATCGACTACTATTGCAGATACCATAACTAATTTTCTCTATTTCCTCCCATAGAAGTAAGTGAAATATTAAACATTTAGATTTCTCTTCTTATACGAGGGTTAACTTTTATATTTCAGGATTAGAAAGAAATAAAAATATTGATTATATATAAACCGCTTCATATTTTTTCAAAATATTCTCCAATAAGGTCTATATAGTTTTGCATGCGTTCGAAACAATTATCGAAGCACTTTTGCCCCTTTGGTTGAGGTATCTTCAAAACACTCGCTCTGAACACGTCAATCGCCTCTAAAAAAGGTTAACCTCTCAATTCATTCGACTGCCTCATATGCGTAAAACCACGATTCATTACCTGTCACGAGTCGAAGGCGTGTTTCGAAGAACCGCAATCGCATTTTTTCGAACAATCGACATGAGCCCTTTCTTGAGCGATTGATTAATTATGGGATTCAACGTAAGCATATGTTTTTACCCTCAAATGTTCATGCAATATGAAATTTATGTCGGTCACACTTACGCCTGTAGTTGTCTCAATCTTTCGATAGGTCACAAAACGATTTTATATATGAGTTTTCACACAGCATCAATAGTTTCAGGAACAAGAACTAACGACCTCCACGAAATTTATCTTGAAGTGATATACGATCTTAATTGAATTCACTTTGCCGACGACAAACACTGTTCCTTTGGGGAGTTTCATACCCAAAAATTTAATTATATTGATTTACATGCTCTTGCTGAGTTAATCCACGTCGTAAAATGTAAAAAATAATCGTACGAAAAAATTGGCGCTTTAATTCAATTTTGTGGAAAGAAAATATTTTAAGTTACTGTACAACACAAAACGTTCCGAATTATCCAAAACATCACATCACATCAACAACATGGTTTCAGGGGTCTATATAGTGGTCCCATCTGGCCGATTCTGACAAATGATCAGTAAAAAATTGCTCGAAAACTGATGCACCAGCCTGCGTAGAACAGTCAGACAGACGGACATGATTAAATGAACTTAACTCGTCGTTCGGATCTGATCGGTATAGATTTTGGTGGCTCTATCTCTTTTCCATCTGGTACTTATATGTATATGTACATCGACTTTCGTCATTTCATGTTCATGAAAGTTTCGTGTTCATGAAAGGTATAAAACTATTGTAGTATCAACTAGAAATTTAGGACACAAAATAGCACACAGATGTGTCCACAGGTGAAATAATCTCTATTTTTTTCAACGGTACAGGGCTGTATTTTGACATCTGTCAAACTAAACTATCAAGCCAAGCATGTTTGAGTACTTCAAAACCAACACCCGTCTTGTTATAGGTGAGCTACCGCCCAATAGGTGCTAAAAAGTAGTCGAAAATTACCTCAAATGAATAGAAGTTTTCAAAAAAATTTCAGTGCGGTCATTTGAATGATTCAAAAGGGTTCCAAGGTTCAAACTTTAAATTTTATATTTTAAATAATTTTTTGTTTTCAAAAATGGATAACCCTTTATTTCTCGTGCTCACTGTATTCCGGACCTGCATACACATTTCAGCTTCCTCGTGGGGGGAAAATGTGAATGTGCGTATAAAAAAACATCTACGACGAATCATGATACTAATTACACCAACAAGTGGAGGGCAAACTCTCAGCATAATATAATGCACCAACGGTATAAGTATGTATACGAATGAGGTTATATTGATAAAGGAAATCTAAGCAACAAGGTTACAATTCCATGCCGCAAGAGCCTAGACAAAAGTAAACACATACGTAATCATAAACTGATTCTTCATACACACAAATACCCTGCGGCGATAAGTTTAGTTAATACGTAAGGATATTGGTTCTGGACTAGTTCTGAAGTAATATTTTATGTAAGAGATCATCATCAAAGCACCACTAAAGGTATTAGTGTAGTTGAGAGCTTTTTGGCTTAATTTTTAGCGTAGGTTGGATGAGCATTTTTTTTCTACTAGTGAACTAGTATTTTACTAGTATTACAAATAGTTGACATTTCGCAAATATCGACGACAAATAGCGGAAGATGGACTAGTAGATGTGACAACTAAAGACTGGTAATTTTAAAGCTCTCCACCTGCACACTTCTGTACTGGATAGATCTGCATGCAAATTGAATAAAGTTACAACTTTCTCGGCTTCTTTGTCTATATGTATGTGTGGTTTAGTCGTACTACCAGCATTTCACACACGCAAATAATTTGCAACGGAAATGAAAGTTCACATTTGTAGATAATAAGCGATGGGTCAACGTATGCAGCACTCGCACTAGTAAAGGCGGCATTGATGGTCCTGGATTTTGTTTTTGCGTTTGTGCAGGGATGTTTATAATTAAAAAAAAAAGAAGTATAAAAAAGGGTGTTTAAGATATGTAGTTTTCAAGAAAAAGGACGCTTATCACTTAGTATTATGATCAAGAATTAAGCTTTATTATAAAGTGAAGAGCTTGCCATTATGTTTTGAAAATTATATCGGTGGAGTAACCCGGTGACTGTCGCGGCTGATTTGGCGAGAGGCAAAATGTTCATACATTTTTTGCAACAATCGGGGGCGCAACAACGCGTCGAATATTCTCTTCCAAGGAGTCAAACGTCTTGGACTCATCTGCGTGGGTAAGTGACTTCACATAACTCTACAACATATAGTTAGGTGTTAAATTATATGATTTCGGAGTCCACGCCACAGGTGAGGTGAGGATGCGCTCACCAAAAGCTTCCTTCAATAAATTAAAAATTTCGTTGGCTGTATGGCATGTACTCGTAGCACTATCTTGTTGGAACTAAAGGTCGTCCACACCAACTAGGCTCTATAGTGTTCCCCATTGACACTAGCAAGCAAAACTCATAATGAATGAACTCCGAAAAAGTATTACAAGTCCAAAAAAGACCCTTTACGTATTAAAATGAAAGCAGAAAATGAAATATGATATAAAAGTCAGCGATTTTTGTACGCGCTTCGCGTCCGATTTATGGTGTCCCGGCCAGACCAACCCAGAGGCTTTTCTGAGTAAAGTTGAAGCTGAACAAGACCAGAAACGACAGTCAGACTTAGAAGCGACCTTATCGATCTTTTTGATACTGAGCGAAGTTCTAAAAAACTAAATAATGTGAGTTGCCGAGCCAAATAATGAATGTACATCTTAAGCAAGAGCATGCAATAGCTGACGCAGTTAACGACCCCAGGGTCATAAGGCTGCCTGAGAATCTCTAAATAGACTACAGTCCCTTGTCTTAAGTATGGGTAACCTAATGTTTGCTAAATAATAATAAACTTTATCATGATATATATGTTCATATATATATATAAAGGGTGATTTTGTGAGAGCTATAGGAAAGTTAAAAAAAAAACACATAAAATTCAGAAAAGTACATGAAATCTTTATTAGAATCGAAGTTACGTTCCATATAATTTAATCTTTATTTCATGCAAATGTTGACCATGACTGCGCATCATCTTTGAAGAAGTACGGTCCAATGATGCCACCAGCAAATAAACCGCAGCAAACTGTAACTTTTTCTGTATGCATTGGTAGTTCTTACAATGCTTCTGGCTGATCTTCACTCCAAAATCGACAATTCGATGGGCTTTCTTAACAGAGCACGCATTTTGATAATAAAATGCAATAGTTTATAAGTATTGTTTATTCGCGCTAATAGTTTGTCTTTGACAGTTTTTTGATTGATTGACTCATTACGTTGTGAGCGCTCGTCAAAGATGGACACCAGCAAAGAGAAAATTCGCTATAATTTACAATATTTCTTCGATCAAGGCGAAAAGCAGAAAAAGCGGCTGAAAAAATTAATTTAATTTATAGGCCCGATACCGTAAACGAACGAACGTGTGGCACAAAAGTGGTTTGCTAGGTTCCGTTCCGGTAATTTCAATGTCAAAGATGCACCACGCGTCGGGAGGCCTGTCGTCGAAAATTGCGATAAAATCATGGAAATAGCGGAAACATACCGTCACGTGAGCTTTTATTTAATTGCTGAGGAACTAAAGATAAGCCAGAAAAACGCCAGGTCACACACGTTTTTGGTAACGCGCCAGAAGCTCCAGGAGCTCGGATCGGAGGCCCTAATGCACCCATCTTATAGTCCGGACTCGGCACCAAGTGATTACCATCTTTTGCGATTAATGGTGAGAAGTTGGCTTCAAGAGAGGTCTGTGAAAATTGGCTCTCCGAGTTTTTTGTCAATAGGGACACTGCCTTCTACGAGAGGGGTATAATGAAGTTGACATCTCGTGGGCAAAAAGGTAACGAACAAAACGGTGCTTATTTGACTTAAACCAACACACATAGTTTCAAAAATCAATAAAAAAACCGAACGAAGTTTTTACTTGACAAATATAAGTATATGTGAATATCTGGTTGAAAAAGTGAATCAAGATGCTTTGGCACCTAGCTTGTATGTAAATCTTATATACTTTTCTTTTGAGCACTTTTTCATTTCACACTTTTAAAAATCTTGCTTTCACTCATTCCAGTTATTTTTTTTGTAGTTGGCAGCCACTTGTATGAGATGGTGTTGCATTCAAGGCCGCTACATACGTACTTGCCACTTATCGCACGCACTTGCTGCACAAATAGACGCATGCATGCGTAGGCACATATATAGTTAATGGAGACAAGAGAAAATATATTATAATTAAATGTGTGTATGTGAATATCTATGTTCATCTCACTATTTTGGAAGTCAACATTATTGCACAAAAGATGTTGAACGGTTTTTAGTGTGATACCACAATATTCCTTTTGACACACAGAGAACTTGTCCAAACGTTATATAAGGATATACGTGATTTTTTCAGAAAAAAAAGTGGCCTTTGGCATTTACGAATACTTTTTTA